GATTTCTCGTCGCATGCTAGACACTGCTAGACACCACAGCTGTCAGATAGCTCGTGCTCATCCCACGTGCTGTATTCTATGGCGGACTGGGACGGTATGTGGCAGTATCAGCAGGGTCACTATACTGGCCCTGCCCTAGCTCAGTAGTTGCAAGGGTGCCAGAACACAACTTAGTGCGCGTCCAACAGCGCGTCACAACAAGCCAAAACATATCGTATTAGGCAAGACATAAGCAACCGAGAGCCTGGTACATCAGTACAGCGCATGGCAATTGAAAGTCCGCCCCAGAGAAACGAGAGAAACAGCTCGAGGAGCTGTTTCTCGTTTTCTCGTTCGCGCTGAGATCCCAAGTCCGATGGCCGTTCGGCAGGGACCCCGAAAGGCTTCAGCGCACTGAGAAAATGAGCGAGAAACGCTTATTGAGTTCGACTATTTGTGGACCATTTCCGCGAGAGCATGTCGTGGACGAATGCCACAGTAATAGGGGAAGTCACGGTGCTCGTTTTAAGGACCGTTTTAGCCTGGAACACGAAATCCGTTTTAGCCTCGTTTCTGCAAAACGGCTCTGGAGCCGTTTTGCACAAATCGCGAACACGGTTTTCGTTTTAGCTCGGCATCTCTCGGCATTTCAGTCTTAGGTAAGCTCGGAGTCGCAAATCCTCTTGCCATATCTAGGCTTAACTGAAGCCTTGGAGAACTTATGTCCCCTCCCGAGGTCTAGTTTGTGCTGGGAAGTGACAGTGTCCTTCTGTAGTATATACCAAGTGTTGAAAACCATCTCAACTTAAAGAGTGCTGTACCTTAAAGAGGAATCACGGCTCTACATTGGCCTACAGTCAGTGGCTGTAAACGTTGTGTAAACGCGTGCTTGAATGAAGCGTTGAACGGCCCACAAAACGGATTTTATGTGGGGTGGTCACGGTTGATTTCGTTTTACGAGGCGTTTTAGAGGTCGACAACGAAATGCAAAACGGACGCTAAAACGGCCTTAAAACGCCAACCGTGACTTCCCCTAATACTAATAGCATCGTGAGAACCACGGCGCGACAAGCAAGCAGCCTGCTTCGTGTGGACGCGACGGTCCTACGCGCGTGTGCGGCGCCGGATTGCTCCTTCCCTTCCTCCTCGTTAACGAGCCTGCATTAGCATGGCCCCTCTGCCGTATTCCCTAAGTCCACATGTATGCGTCCTCTCCTCGCCCGACCTTGAATCCGTGCTCGCTTCAGCGTCATTGCCACCACTGCCGCAGGTACTGCAGTCATTCTCACCCCTACCCAACGGTGAGTAAGGTTGTTGATGAATGGACCCGTACTGTGCTCATATAACCACCCAGTGACGACTAGGACGACATCTCTCACTTCAGTAACCCATTCCTCCTTCACTATACGCTTCTCCGACTTGGTGGAGATAGAAGCCGGCTGCAAGGAGGACGAGGAAGTGAGGGCGTCGCGCACTCTGGACTGGATTGGCGCCCGGATAGCCAAGCGAAGTGCCAGATGGGTCGAGGATACAGAGAGAGTGCAGGCTGGCGAGAAAGTTGGCCGGACGCCATGGTGGGACGAACTGCGGAGGTGCGTGGAAGGGGACCATGTACCGTCCAGGATAGAGGGATGGAATCACCCTATTGCTGGTGAGTAGCTCCCTACGCCTTCTTGCAGGTCAAATGCTGAAGTCCTATGTCATATCCTCTTCTATAGTCATACTGGCGGTGTCCACTACGGCGCCCAATCCATTACAGGCTGTTACGGCCCTTCACTCCAGGCAACTCGAGCTACCCCCTTGGGTTGACTCAACCTATCTGAAATACACGCTTATAGTGCACCCGGAGAATTCCCCTCTGTCCGATGAAGAGTATGTCTTCCTTTCCGACGCAACTCTTCAGATCGTCGACTAAAAGGTTTCCGGTCATGCGCGTGACTTAGGGCAGGAGCTCTCTTCAATGCTGTAAAGAAGCAATACGGACTCCATGCCCACCTCCTACCTCTCTCCTTACCCTCACCTCCACCGCCAGCCATCCCAGTACCTGCCCCGCTGCCCCGACTACCACCCCCGCCGTCCCCCGAATCACTTTTGTCGCCACCACCTCCACCAGCAATGTTCAGCGCCCCTCCTACGCCGACTCCCGGTGCCATGGGAAGTAGCTTGAGCACGCAGATGATGAGCTTCGCATCCTCCATCGACGGCCCTGCCTCCGCTGAAGAGGAGAGAACAGGAAAGTCATCTGGCAACTCACTGAGAATGCACGAGAAAGATATCCAAATGACTGCGCGGTTCGTCCGGGAGTTCTTGCTCATGAGCGTAGTGCCCTTCATGGAGAAGTGTGCCATTGAGTGGAACGAGACTGTGCGTCGAGTCAGTTGCATTAACGCTTTTGCACGTATGTTGAGGCAATCAATTAGTATTCATCCACCCGACGCCTGCCATCGCGCCTCTTTTCTTCCACTCGCCGACTTTTCGGATCTTCGACCCCGTCATCATACACGCCAGGCCATGCTTCCACGCCCTCCACCTCATCTGTGACCTCCCGTACGTCCATAAGCTCAGTCACGAGTGGTGCCAATGGGAGCCAGGCCGGAGGACCCCCGCCAATGCACAGGAGATTGGCCGAATTCGCCACCATCCTCGGGGACATCAAGCTAGCAATCAGTGTCTGGGAGAGTCTACGGAAGGAAGGAAAAGGAGGATCGGTAAGCTATAATGTAAGGCATCCCTCGGACTGCTTGGGTTAACTTATGTGGGCCTAGGACATTCTTCCACTCCTTTTAGCGCCATCGCCAGCCTTAGCTCTTCATGCTTCACACGCCCTTAATACGCTACATCTGCCCTCCCCAGATCCTCCTGCTCATGCCCAGTTCCATGCTCTGACATACGCTGTGCGATGGACTATTGGCATCAATCCGCAAGATTTTCTGTCGAATACTCTTGAGGGAGAGCGATGGCTCGTCTCCACCGCAGGCTCTGTACGTCTTCCTTCCTGCTAGACCCATTTTACCTCTGCGCGATATGGGAAGCTGATCATGCTAAGGGTTGTTTCCTCCCACTAAGGCGGAAGAACCACACGCTGCCTTGCTTTTGGGTCATGCAGCACTCTTGAGTACGATGAAACGGGCGAAGCGAAGAGCTGCGCTTTGGTACCTATTTGCGGCTAATAGACTCGAAAAGTGTGGCGTGGTGAGCAAGTTGCATCATTGTCATGATAATACATCAGCTTATATGTGCAATCGGCTTCTCAGAGACCACTCACGATGTACTTCCTCCGGAAAGCGCACGCGCTCTACACAGCAGGCCCCGAGAAGAGCCTGTCTCCGTCTCTTTGGGATAGTGAAGATCGGAGTCCGACGGACTGGGTAGGCTTTCCTGACGTTAAGGCCGGGATCGAACATGCCCTTGGTCGACTGCTCTATACCACGGGCAATATTGAAGGGGCTATCGATTATTTCTTGGGATTGCTCAGAAGGCCATCCACTTGCTTCATCTCCCGCCAACCCCCGGTAATGACCAACGGTAAAGCAGCTGAGTCTGGCGTAGACCCTTCTGCTACAGACCGAATTTATCTAGAGGATTTCCGAGTGGCTTTTAAGGTGAGACTCCGCCTGTACGACTTTAGGCACCGATATAACTCAACCGCGATATGTCTCAAGCATTTCTTAGCTACTGGTGGCGATGATACTAGAATTGCTGGATGGAAATTACCCATTAAATTCTGCAATCCTAAGCAGACCAAGATCCGCCTGCCTAATCAAGGTGTTAATGGACTTGACAACGTCTGGGCAGATCGAGAAACAAAGTGGGAGACTTTCTGGAAGAGTAAAGGTGGTAGAAATCGATTAGAGGCGAGCGGCAAAGCAGCTGTGAACGGTAGGATTGATAAAACAACTGTGGTCCACTCAAGCTGATGCACTTTGTTCCAGAGACGTTTTGGGTCGATATTGAAGTCCAAAATCCTCTGGACGTGGAAGTAAATCTGTCGGATGTGACAGTGGTTGCTCAGGAACGTGTCTCGGCAGAGCTAGAGTCCCCTGTAGACATCTTAGAGGCCGAGGTCATCGACGATATCGTCCTTGCAGCCAACGAAACTCGCTCAGTAAGTGTCGCTACTACCACGTCCATATTCATTCTGATCTCGGTTCTGGCAGATCCCTCTGGCCGTGAAAGTGAACCGCCCTGCTTCGCTCGTCATTTCTGACGTCCGATACAAGTTCCTCTCGCTCCTCCCTGTCATGGACTCGTTGGCGTGTCGGGGTCGCCGACTGCACGAGACAGCGCTACAGCGACAGAGCAAAACCTATGCTCCTAATGCCTTCGTGACGGTCGACGTTGAGGATGCCGATCAGAGGCTACAAGGAAACTTCGTTGAGGATGGACGACTTGAAATGGCGCATGGAGAGTGCAAGCGCATGAAGCTATGGTTTTCGAATGCCGGGACTCGACCGATTGGAGAACTGTGGATGATATCTGGTGACGAAGATGAGCTGTGGGTGGAGACCCCAAATGACGCCGGTAAGTCGCAGAATGTCTACCGCCATTTGAGTGACCGCTTATACTTGCCATAGGATCGTCCTCCAAGCGGCCTGTCACGTCCGAGGTGATTTCGTCTAACAATTCTCTTCTTGCTGCGGAGCCCTTCCGCGTACCACTGGAATCCCTGACAAATTCGTCAAGCATACCACCAGGAGGAAACGTTGAACTGACCGTCATCTTCCATGCTGAGAAGGCTGCGAATGATGAGTTGTGTCTGCTCTTCGTTTTCCGAGAGGTAGGCGACCCCGTTCGCTCGTTCTGCCGTCAACCTGACCCTCCGCTTTAAGGGGAATGATCAACCTTTCCACTCTGCTCGCGTCTCACGACAATATGAGGTTAATCCATGTCTCAGAGCGACGGCGACCTCGCGCCCCAGCCGCTCACCTGATCATCTTTACTTGATCAATGTCGAGATTGAAAACGTCTCTTCCTGCGGGGATCTTCACTTGAGGCAGCTCACGACGCTGAGCCCTACATGGAAATGCTCCCCAATCGCAACCGAGCAGACTCTGTACGTACATCATTGGTTAGCAAATGATGTAAAGCCTAATGCGAGATAGTGGCTGTCTCCCCGTCAACCAGACAGCAAGATTCTACTTCGATGCCGACCGGTGGGAGGAGGGTAGCGCAGAGCAGACGTTACAATTCGTGCACAAGAAGCTCGGCGATATTTTGCACAGCCGAAGCATAGACCCGAGTAGTCCGCCCTCTATCCAATTATTCTGCAGGCATCTGTCTGATGTACGTCTATCAATTCTGGTGTAATATTACCTCCTGACATCATACGTTCCTAGGGTCACGCACACTCGGTGGAGGATACTCCTACACGTCACTTCGTCCACACTTCCCGACGCAAATTTATCAGCCGTGCAGTAGCGACGGAACACCCATATATTCCACCAGCTTCGCATCCTTACGTATTCCCCTTATACAACCCTGCTGCTCTGGACGTTGTCATCTTCTGGGAGATCCCATCCCAAGAAAGGTCTGGATACATATCAGTATCTGGGTTGCTGCTCGGTGCTGGCCACGCTGCCCTGAAGGAGCTCATTGAAGAAGCGCAGAACGCGAAGGTCAAGCGGAGTATGTACGCGGAGACCCAGCGTGAGCGGGAAGGAATATTGGAAGCCATCCGGACTAGTGAATGGAACGCCGAGATGAATCCTATCGTTGTGCGGGTGCAGGATGGACTCCGCGTAGAGCATGACTTCGCCAAGGGGTGAGTGTTTTGTGGAAATTGGATTCCGCACTTCACTCCTGACTAACTTCCGTACAGTGGACGCCTGGCGCCCATTACGTTCGTTCTGCGAAATTATTCACTGACACATCCCGCAAGATTCACTCTTCGGTTGGGACATGAGAAAAGGTCTTCTTATCCTTCGTAGGTTGTCGGAGCTCTAGAACTTCATTATGATAGTAACATCTCGTCTCCGATAGGAATTTGCTCCCTGCTCAGTACTCTGGACGCTTGTCACATCGAGGGAGGTTGGAACCTTCTCAGCAAATCGAGGTCCAAGCGAAGATGTGGATAACACGCCCAGGTGCATATGCTTTGATTGGGTGGCAGGCAGAGACGCAGGTCGAAGAGATTCCACTCACAGGACAGGAGGCACCTGAGGCTCACTCCAGACGGATTCGACACCGTTATATCCAAGGCCCACCGCTGGCCGATAGGTCTTGCATTGTTGTATCTAATGTACAGTCTGGATAATGTGTACAGTACCGATTACGGGGAACATTCTACATGAATAGCAGATCCAAGAGGTTGCTTTACAAGGAACGGCGCAGTCTGGCACATGGAACTCGAGACTTGAAGCTTGAAGCTTGAAGTGTGGCCTTGCCCGAAACCCACGCATCTATAGTGGAAGGCGTCAATAAGTATATGAACGTTGCATTTACAGTCAAGACAAGATATCAGAGGTGCAATATGTTTTGGCTGTTTGCTTGTGCCTTTCATCAACGCATGAAGCTATGACTGGGGCGGCAAAGCTCTCATCTTGGAGACATAGCAGGAAGGATACTCACCTAACATGAATCCCTACCGTCCATTCAGAGGAAAGCTTAAGCCAGCACCAGAACGCGTCGATGAAAGACCTCGATTTTTTTGTAGCGTTGCCTTATATAGGGCTCGCGGAGTCTAAATAACGTACCTGCCAATTATAGGCGACCGGCTACCCACGTCTCTAAGTTGCCGGCCGCAAGCATGGATCACCTGCGGTCCAATAAATCCAGTGCCTGCCTTGGGCGGTCTCGGTATTGCTGTAACCTGGTTTTCTTAGAGCAGAGATGTCTTCGACCACCGTGACCATTGTGGAGGTGCGAGCGAAACCAATCAACCCGCTGCTCGCCTCGTACTTGGCGCAATTGGCGCTACACCCTCTGAGGACGAAGGCATTCACCACCGGTGAGTTAGAAACGCATGTACCGTCCGTTCTAACTCTATAACATCGCTTGCGGCTTGTAGCCACATTATGTTTCCTCCAGGAGGTGCTCGCAACGCATTTTGCTGGCGTACCAGCCAAGAAACCGAGCCCCGATGCGCCCCTCTACCACCAGCTCCTGGCACGCTCGCAGATTGACACGAAAGCGCTGAAGATGGCGGTGTACGGTTTCTTCATCTCGGCGCCCATGGGCCACTACCTCGTCGGTGCCCTGCAGAAGGCGTTCGCAGGCAAGACCTCTACCGCTGCCAAGATCGGGCAAATCCTTGCGAACAACCTTCTGGTCGCGCCCATACAGGCTTCAGGTGACTGCCTCAGCAATCCGTAGCCAAGTTAACTATTGATCCGCGCTTGAATGTCCAGTGTACCTTGCAAGCATGGCCGTCATCAACGGCGCGAAGACTAAGGAGGAGGTTGTGAAGACCGTGAAGAGCGGTTTCATGGCCGTCATGAGGGTACGTGGCCACGGCTGCTGTATCACATCTGCTATGCCCTTACAATGATGACTCACAAGATGACTTGGATCACTTCACCACTGACGCTGGTGTTCGCGCAACAATTCCTATCCCCCGAGCTCTGGGTCCCCTTCTTCAACATTGTCGGATTTGTCCTAGGGGTACGCAAGGAGTCCGGTTGCATTTGTCTATATATTATTGACCCATCTCCCTTAGACCTACTTCAACACCAAAGTGAAGCAGATTCGCCTCGCAGCGGAGAAGAAAAAGGACAAGGACCCCAAGGACGCGTAATTCGGCACACGCTGACTATATGTTTCTGGACGGATTGTTGTAAAACATCGTTGTATCTTACGCTCGGACTTAGTCTATCAATCCAGATTTCTTCTCGCTGGACTTGGAGCGTCAGGCGCGCTGCCCAGAAAGTCATCGTTGTCGATAGCGTCATAAAACGTGGTAGGTATGATGAGTACTGTACGATAGCGTCTGCACCGATGTCCGGCATATGCAATGGAAAGCAACTCTAACTCAAGCGAGAAAACCATCCAAAATCAAATAATCCAGATAGACTAAGCACAAGGCGAACATAATTTATTCATCGGGCCTTGACCCTGTAACAGCACAATATCAGGGACGGTGCTAAGCACAGAAGCGGGATAACAACGTACCAGGCCTTAACGTAGTCGGCGAACGACACCATGCAGATAGTTTGCCAGACACCCAAACCGATACGAGGGGTGACACCGCGGTACAGGCCCTTGATACCGTTTTGCTTGTAGATGTAAGACAACGTGTTCATGATTGTCAGCTTCTCCGGACGGTTGGGGGACGCAGCCGACTTTGCCATAGATTGCATCTACACGCCGCAGACATCAAACATGCGCGCAGCGGATATACGCGTAAGGCCACGTACCTCCACTCGGACGACCTCGATGGGCTGGTTCCAAGTAGCCAGCGCACCACCGATAGAGGACGCCAGGATCTTATCAAGCGCACCGAGCTTCTCGTCTTCCCGCTTTCCCCGAGATTTCCGGATCATGTTCTCCGCCAACCGTGCAAAGCCCATGCTACGCACGATTCAATGTGAGGAAATGCAGCTGCCGTAAGGAAGGACGCCGACGCTTACCGTGAACCCCAGTTGGTACATTGCCGGACAGCAACGGCGTTGACACCCTTGTTCACGCCACGCAGACCTTCTTTCCGGAAGATATCCATAAAGACTGTGAATGTCGATGCGGGTTTGATGCCGGACTCTGCCTGCTTGTGTCGAGTGATCTCGACCGTCTTCATGCATGTTGTGAAACCTGGTTTGAGGTAATACAATCAGGGATGCACGGATAGAAGGGAGGCGCCACGTCAATGCTTTGAGTTTACGTACCCATAGTTGCATATGCCTGGGCAATACCACCGCCCATACCACCGAGTAAACCCCCGATGGAGGGGTCTAACCCAGCTGACGTGGTAGCAGTCTCGATTTCAGACGCAGTGAACAGTAGGACCGCCCCCTTAGTAGAGGCCTCAATCCACGCCTATACATGTGACACAGGTCATCATGGATACAGACAACGAGCCATATACCGCATACGAACCCATGGAATGAGACCCTGGTAGAACCCGCTGACCCCACCACGGGCCCATATTGAGCTCAACGCCTGAACCATTGATTGCGACCGGTTGGCAGCCATCTGGGTCTTGATAACCTCTAGTGGTTGGCCTAGTGTTGTGACCTATATGCTCAAGTTTAGGGATGCCGTGGTCTGTTGGGATGCACCAATGCCAACTTGCCTCCTACAAACGCATCGTCAGCAAGTCATGAGCAACGTAACACAACTATGCACGCACAAACTAGCATTCCAAATCATCAGCAGCACTGAGATTAGCGATCATTCTCGCAACAAGCCATGTAGAATGTACCATGTTCATGATAGCCCCTACGACCCCGCACTTCAGCATACATTCACGTGCGCTTGCCACCGACGCGTCGAACACTCACCGACAGCGATGTTGGACCAGTTGATGCCCTTCTGGCCTGGTTCTTTTGTGATAGCCATTGCACAACGCTGTCGTCGACGTGTAGAGGGGACGGGGGGATGGAAACGGCGAGAGCGGTGGGACGAGAGACGGTGAAACGGATATAATGGGGGTCGTACAAGCGTCGGACTTCGCCGCGCGCGCGCTGATTGGACCTGTCTCGGGCAAATGGAGGCCCAATCAATCCCCACTCAATAAAGCATATTCGGTGTGGTAATTACTACGGGTGGAGCTCCCAAGTAAGGGAATTTTGATGGATTTAAGCGACCCCATTGGCCCCACGCTGTGGTAATTACCACAGCGAATATGCTCTAATCAGAGCCCATTCGGCATTCCGACATGGTTCCCCTCCGGGCCCTCCCAGCGGCCGCAGTTCCCTTATGGTATATCATAAACGACCACAAATACTCAGTCCACAACGTCCTCCGAAGGGTACCGGACTCGTACTTTATCGGTGCTATGTCTCAGTGCCATCGACCCCGCAAGTTGTCCGTGATTGCTGTCCGACTCTCGGCTAATAACTGTTTCGGACCCGGACTGCCCGTCCATACTTTCACAGTCGGACAGAGCTGGAACATGCCATTCTTTATGTGGGTCGAGACATAAAGCAGGAGCATGCTCCCGAGGCGAAAGAAGTTGGTGGGGAATAGAGGTGCCCTTATAGGACAAACTTGGGATATCTGCCGATCGCGACACTGTCATCCAAACATTTTGACTGTCGATCCTTGCCGCTTACATCGTGCATGACGGTACCGGTTGCTTCGATTGAGATTACAGCTTCATTTCCTTAAATACCGTAGCTTGCACAGTCTTCACTGAGAGGCCGAGGCTGGAGGAGATCACAATCATCAGCAGCAGTCTGATCAAGAGTTTCATTAGGAACGCGACGGGTAAGAACAAATTATACGCAGCAGCGCACTACGTATGAGGAAATGGGTAAGGGGTATGATAAAATGAGGGTACCGGTTATTACAACGACGTCTCGAGCTGAGGTTTGCATAGTGATCACAACTATAGTATGGATATTTGCGATGAACGTTAACAGCGACAATATGTTCCAGATAACGGGAAAGGACGCAACAACAGAGAATAAGGAAAGCAAAGTCAGGGGTCTTGACCAGAACTTGAAGAGCATGGGGGTATCGAGACAGCAGGGGTGTGCGTGTTGGACATGCCGTATCCGCGTGTTTTCGTCGCGCTGACGCGACGAGGCCCTCTTCACTGGGATGCGGTTTCCTTTGCTCGTACCAGCTCGGTAAGATGATCCACGTCTTCCTTCAATCTGTGTTACGCGAGGAGGTCAGAATAAGAAAAGGTCCATCGACGAATTGAATAATTTAGGGAACCAAGCGAATTAAACGGGTAGATAAGAAATGTAACGTGGAGATAAGAGAGTGTCCATGAAATGAGTGTGATGAATCAATAGTTAAGGAGAGAATTGTTTCAAAGGAGTCCGTAGACCACGCTCAGCGCGATTATTCCTCCCAAAAAGCTCTTTAGTCCAAAGAGTTTGACATACCGAGTAATCTGATCCTGACTCTCCTCCTGGTCTTGCTCCAGATACTGGATCTCCATCGCCTTCCTCGCGACCTCTTGCTGCAACTCGTCAGCCCTTGCCTGAGCCATCTCCAGCTCTTCGCGGAGGGCCTTCATTGCCCTACCATGCTCCGCCTGGAGATCATTGAGTTTCAGGGTATGCGCCTCGTGCATCTTCTGTAACTCATCCTTCGTAACGCTCGGCGTGCGAGCGTGCCCATTGCTGTGACGGGTAGGCGATGTGACAGGTCCCGCGGCCATCTGGGCCTTTACTGTAGCCAGCTCCCCTTCGACGTCAGATAACCTGGAGAGCAAGTCGGCCTTCTCCTTCAGCAGAGCGTTCACCTCCTCTTCGTGAGATGCGCGGAGCTTCATGACCTCCTCCGCTCTGGTCTTGGCGGCTTCCTCCAACTCCCTGATGTGGTTGGTAGACATCTCAGAGATCGACTCCCTGGTGACGTTGAGAACGTCAGACAGCGCAGCAAGGTCATCCTTCGTAACCGCGAGCTCCTTCGTCAGCCGCTCGATCTCGGCTGCTTGCTCAGGGGACGATAAGGCAATTGACGACGCGGCACTGCGCGCTTCCTCAAGCTGCGCCTTCAGGGACTCCACTTCTGGAGCCGCGGACACCAAGGCAGCCTTTGCCTTCGCCAGATCATCCTGAGTAGCCTTCAGCTCCAGTTGCAAGCTAGTAATCTGCTTCTCCAAGGTCTTCACTTGCGACTCGAGGGCAGCTTCATGTTCAGCCTTCAAGCCCTCAATAGTCGTCTGGTGGGCCTCCCGAAGTTGCTCGATAGTAGCCTGAGACTCAGCACGTAGAGCTTGGAGATCTTGGGAGTGGGCCGAGCCAGCTTCAGACTAATAAGGTGTAACGATGAGCAAGGTAATAGTATAAACAGGTCAAGCAATCGACTTACCTTGGCACGCTCGAACGCCTCCTGAAGTAATTGATCATGTTCCGCCTTCACGGCATCGACCTTCGAGTTGTAAACAGCCTCTTGACCCTGTAGCACTGGGTTACTACTCTGCCATGGCAACCCTAAGCGGTCACTTACCTCTAACTCGGTCTTCACCCGAGCCAGCTCTTCCGAAAGCTCATTTTGCTTGTCCAAGTGAGCCTTCTCCGCTTCCTCGAGCTTCCGTGCATGCTCCTCGGCAGCGGCCTGAGCTTCCGCCTTGGCCTGTTCGTGAGCGGCCTGAGCCCGCGCCAATTCTTCACTGAGAGCTTCAAGCTGAGCGGCAAGTTTCGCCTGCTCCTCGCTAGCAGCCTGGAGGGCTTCGGTGCGGAGTCTCTCGGCATCACCTAGTTTCTGCGAGTGCTCCTCCTCCCTGGCCTTCGCCTCCTCGATTGCTTGCTGCGTAGCGGCAGAGGCTTGCTCTACTTGCTGCTGCAAAGCCTGGATGCGTGTGAGGGACTCAGCGCGCTCGTCTTCGGCTTTGTCCTGGATCTCCTTAAGCTCCAAAATCTCGATCTCAAGCTCCGAAAGTTTGGTCGCACTCTCCTCCTTCTCGGCCTTCAGCTCTTCAACCTCCGCTCCCAATGCATCCGCCCGAGCGGCCTTGTCCTCGAGCTCACGAATGCGAGCTTGAGCCTCCTCTAAGGCTTCAGCATGCACCTTCGTTAACGCCTCGGACTCGGCTTGAATAGCATCAAGGTCTGCCTTGGCCTTTTCAAGGGCAGCGTGTTCGACGGACGCAGCCGCTGCGGCCTCTGCATTAGCAGATTCATTCGCAGCTCGGAGGGTGTCCAGGTTCTCTTTCGCTGCCGCGACTTCTGCCTGTAAGGCCTCGATCTGGGACTGGAGATTCTCCACCAGGACATTCTGCGTGGCAGCAGCGGCCTTGGCAGCAGCAAGCTTCCAGACACAAGTGCTATTAGCGATACCCGCATCAACGTATGGAACCGAAACTCACTTCTTCATGGACAGCCTCGAGCTTAGCGGTACTGTCACCTTGATCTTGCAGGGCAGCCAGACTAGCCTTCACTTCCACCAACTCCTGCTCGGCCTTCGTCTTGGCCGCTTGCAGCTCGTCAACAGTCTGCTGTTTAGATGCGGCATCGGCCAGAGCAGCGTCCAGAGAAGACTTCAACTGCGAGGCTTCTGACTCGAGGCTCGAGATAGCGTCAAGCTTGGACTTAAGAGCAGCTTCGACTTCCTTAAGCTAAAGCACGACGTCAGACTCGTTCAGTCTATAGCGATACAATAACATGCCTTGTTCTGCAACTCCACGGTTTTCCCATCCTCCTTGATATCCTTCAAGGATGAAATTGAAGGAGATGCACCGACCCGTGCTGCCCGGATGGATGCAGAGGATGGTGGCCGGGAGGAGGTAGCTGGAAGACTCGGCCTTGTGCTTGCCTGTCGTTTGGGAGCAACAACATCGGACACGGAGGCGCGAGGACGAGGAGTAGTGCCCGGGGCCGTCGCCCTAGACTCTGCAGGGGAGACAACGGAGGGTCGTCCAGAGGCTGGCCGTGTGGCGGTAGTCGTTGGCTTCGCCGAGGTTGAGGATGCCAACGAAGCCCGAGTTGTAGAGGGGGCGGCAGGCTTAGGCGCGTTGGGACCGACGGACTGCCTGCGCTGCGGAGCCGCGGTACTGGATCTGGTCGTGGAAGGCGGCGGCATAGTACCTTTCGTAGCAACTGAACCACTGGTAGACTTCTTAAGCGTCGATGTCGCTCCCGTTGGGGGTTTCGCTGTCGCAGTGGAGGTAGCGGTAGAGGGCTTAGAGACGGTGGGCGGAGAAGCCTTCACGGCACCCGAACCAAAAGTCCCGGAGTTGATGATCTGGCAGGACGTGCGCCGCACGTTGTATCACCGATATGACACGCACTCAAGCGGGCTGGCAGACGCACCTTCTTAACCAAAGGCGTGGAAGCACCCTTCCCTGTAGCCGGCTTGGTCGGGCTCACAGGTGCCTTAGTTGTAGTCTTCGTCTTGGTAGGGCTCTTAGGCACGGGTGCTGGCGTCTCCTCTTTCTTATCACTATCAGCAGGAGCAGGCTCTGGTTCGACCGCTGCCACGGCGGCTGATGAGTCGTCTGGCTGCGTGGCCTCAGGCTGTTCGGGCTTCACTTCAGCGCCATCTTGCTGCGGCTCGTCAACCGACACGCCATTAGCAGGCAATTCCAGGGCTTCAGCTTCAGCTTCGACCGTACTGGATGCCTCATGTTCGCCATCGACTGCAGGCTCCGGATTAGATGAATTAGCTTCGGTTTGATCTGATTCAGCGACCTCTTGATCTTTCATGTCCTCCGCGGGCAGGATTCCATTCGGTTCTACCTCAGCCATAAGTCAAGTCAGGAGCAGGGGTATCGGTAAAGGAAAGACAGGTCAGCACCGCTGCCGGAGTCGAAAATCTCAGGGAACAACGCTGGCCGGAGAGATCCCAAGACGCGTAGGACGCGTCTTGACGCCGGACCAAACCGAGCCTAATTATTGCCTTGTTAGGCCACAACCCACGCCACAATGCGCCAGGCGTAAATTACTTTTCTTCCGTTGATTTCATATTCACGGCGCATACAATGAAGAGGTGCCATTCTACGATCTCTAGAGCACGACAATTCCGGTTGTAAAAGACGCCGACGATACTCCTCTACATTGCGTACAAATTCAAACCATTCACGGCGGGCTCATTCAGATTGTGGTGGTTGTAGGTTAACACCGCAACCTAGAGGTACAATCAGCATCATGCATCGTATCTCGGATATAGTCAGCCACGTACTCCTCCGGGTTCAACGTTAAAATGAGTGCCTGCGGATAAAGTCAATCGCTAACCAGCAATAATGCCGGTAGCTCACGCACCGAGAGACAGAGGGAAGTTCACCCATCGAGTTAGCAGGATGCGGTTGAAATGGCCATGGGCAACGATCAAAACGTCACGAGTACCGACTCCTTCTTCGTAATATTTCCTATGGTACTCCCGAACCTGGCGACGGTATGGTATTAGCGGTATGCTCGCACAAGTGGAGAAGGACTCGCCCTCTCGATAACTCCATCAACCCGATGCCCTATGTCTTCTGTGCTCTCACCGCCTGGACATCTGACATGACATATGTAAAAGAAATCACTATGACTTGAGCGATAGGCACACACACCCGTGCCTCCATATGTTCCAATTGGGATCTTTCTCGTGGATCTCCGAGCTCAACATCCCTTCGTAATCACCATAATCCCACTCTCGAACCTCTTCGGTGAAAATATGACTAGGAAGATTGTCTAGGTGGTCGAAGAGGAGGTGGAAGGTCTTGTGAGCTCTCTGTCTCGGGGATACGAGCACCTGACAGAGATTCTTTGGATCGATGAGCTCTTCGCTGGGATATGAGTTGATGCGGAAGACATGGATTACTTGACAGACTTACTGCCATCGCCCACTATTTTCTCTCGTTTGTCTAGTATTTGCTGTTCGCCTCTCGCCGTGAGGGGGATGTCCGTCCGACCCGTCTTGTAGCGCCAGGGTATTGAATTTCCGACCGTCAGTGGACGTTGAACGAACTCACATGTCGTCTAGGGATGCCCTCCCGCGTTCAGTGGATGATAAGGACCTCGGGAGAGACACATACCCATTCAGAGACCATTCAGTTTCCCCTATTTGAACTCGGCATGTAAGCCAAGTGAACCGTCCACAACACAGTTGCTTACCGTGTCGAATTAGCAATAGACGGGGCACCGGTCGTTGAGACATCGTTGACAATGGGTTGGACGCGGAAGGAGTGGCAGGGAAGAGACGCGTATATAACCAAGAGTATTATTATTCATGTTGGCGGACAGACTGATAAAGATCTGACGGTGCAGGGGCACGATGATCTCATCCTGGCCCGGAAATAGTGTCGGACCTGCCACGGTCTCCGTCAGACAACCGTCAGAAGCAGTGCAATACTCACGGAGACGTCCTCGGACACCTCCCGGACATCGTCTCTGCCGCCTCCTCTTGCCTTTTCGGGATCGTATACTTGTGCGCTGTTCCTCAGCACGCCGTCAAAGGTCGGCCGCCCTTCGCCATGTTCGACGAATGTAAGCAATCTATTGCTAGTGCAGCTACTCGTGACTCATCTTTGCTTTGAAATCATCTGTAAATAGTCGTTGAACACGCTGCTGCGCCCAACGGGGGACTTGGCCATGGCGCGTCCGCCCTTCCGCAAGTCCAGTATGAGGGATTTGAGCCTTCGCCTTACGAACGAGATGACTTTCGAGAAGAGTTCGAAGAGGCGGCCTTGGGGGTGAGTCTCCCGAACTCGCTGCACGTCTCTTGAGTGACAGAGCAAATCCAAAGGAAGAGACCGACCCTGCCGCTGCTGCAGGCCCTGTATTCGAGCTTGGGCGGGTCCAATACACCTTACCAGCACCATTAGTTTCCATGGCAGTATCCTCGGACGTCCTCGCCATGGCTTTGGCATCAAATACCATCGTCCTCATTGCCCTCGCCCATGCCGATCAAGTCATGAAGATCCAAATTCCTCGGAAGACCAATGAGATGTCCGTATCCAAGATATTCATGGACCCTTCCGGCCGACACATCATAGTAACGTCTCCGCAAGGAGAGAACTGGTATCTATACCGGACTTGGAAGAAGCCCCGGCAACTGAAGGGTTTCAAGATGGTCATTGAGAGCATAGCCTGGAATAAAGCTGCCCTGCTCTCGTCTCATTCGACGTCGACGCGGGAGATGCTCATCGGTGCGAGAAATGGCACAATATACGAAGCTGTTCTTGACGCAGAAGAGGACTTCTTCAAGTCTCAGGAACGGTATTTGCAGTCGCTATTCTCTCTGCCCGAGCGGCATCCGGTCACTGGCATCAAGTTTGACTTGTTTCCGGCCTCTGATCCAAGACGAGCATTGGTTATCGTTACTACGCCTTCTCGAATATACCAGTTCGTCGGGGTCCCGGATAGACGGACTGAGGAGGGAGGGCGGATCTTCTCCAACTTGTTCGCGAGCTACAGAGATGTTGCACCAAGTCGGTATATCAGTACCCATAAGCGCGTGAATCTGATTGCTGACTTCGAGAAGCCATTTTTGAGATTCCTGGCGGTTTAGACCATTCAGAACTCCATGTCTATACTCCTGACGCCGAGCAAGTCTTATCGCTGCCCAAGACTATGGCATGGATGGCCTGTGAGCTTACATCTACCTACAACAATCTTTCAATTACTCAGCAGATATACCTATGTAGCTCTCGGAATCTACCATGGCACTCTGAACTTCGAGTCAACGTCAGACAACTTGATTGACAATGCTCAGATGCTCCCGTATCCGTCCCTGTCTGGTCTTTCCCCTCAAGAGTGGCCCAAATCAATAGCTCTAACAGAGTTCCATTTCCTCCTCCTCTACAAGGACCGGGTGGCGGCCATCTGTAACCTGGATGAGAAGCTGTCATACGAAGAGATGCTGCCTTTGGTCAGTGCGACCTATAATGCCCAAGGATATCTTAGTGATCTGTTCCCTAGAAACCAAACGAGGAGGTGAAGGGACTGGCTGCAGACCCTGTACGTAAGACGTACTGGGTATACACCGACCAGTCTCTATTCGAACTGGTGGTTGGCAACGAAGACCGGGATGTCTGGAAGGTCTATCTAGAGAGAGGTCAATATGATCTGTCCCTACGGTATGCGAAGGTATATCGCTCTGTAACATTGTACCTCTGCTGCCCACGAACTCGTTTCTAGACAGCACGACAAAGGGATCGGGTCTTGTCAGCGCATGCCAATGCCTTATTCAACGAAGGAAGGTACTTCCAAGCTGCACAAGCTTACTCCCAGTGCTCTGCCAGCTTCGAAGAGGTCACTCTCAGATTCCTAGACGCGGGTGAACGCGATGCCTTACGGGCCTATCTCATTTCGCGCCTAGAAAAGACCCGGAAAGGCGTAAGTGGAACCAACAATTCTAGCAGAGCACAAGTCTGACGTTTTAATGATCTTTAGGAACTGACGCAACGCATGATCCTGGCGACCTGGCTCGTTGAGTTCTACCTCAGCAAATGTAACGAGCTCGACGACGTCGTCGCTTCGGAGTCTGTCTCGCACGACGTGGAGAACTTGGAGACAGAAAGGAAGATAGTAGAGGAGGATCTGAAGAACTTCTTTGTGACATACAAGGTATATTTGCAGGATTGTAGGATACTGCGGTTGACCCCAACTAAACTCTTGTAGGCTAACTTGGACCCCCAAACCGTCTATGATCTTATTCAAGGCCATGGGCGTACTGACATGTATATATACTATGCGACTACCATTGGCGACTACGACCGAGTGATAGAACACTGGATCCTTGAGGAAGAGTGGATCAAGGCTATAGATGTCTTGAACCGGCAGGTGTGCTTACTCAGTCATCAGCACATCTATTTCGGGGCCATTGACTCCTCTTCAGACAGATCTCGAATTGTATTATCGGTTTAGTCCTGTCCTTGTTCGGCACGCTCCGAAAGACACAGTAGAATCGTGGCTTCGACAGCCTGCCCTGGAACCTTTGCGGCTTGTACCTGCTCTCCTGCGACTCCAGCATCTCCCTCGCGACCCGCTCGTTGGGAACCAGGCTATCCGGTATCTCAATCATGTCATTTTCGAACAGCAGAACACGTCCTCCATCATTCACAATCTCCTGATCACGTTCTACGCAGCTCCCTCTCCTTCATTACAGCCTTCTCCAGACGAAGATGGCCCTCTACTGAAATTCCTGTCTAATGCACCCACGGATCCTATGACCGGCAAACCCTACTATGACCTGGATTATGCCTTGCGACTATGCAAGCAGGCCAATCGTATCCAACCATGCGTGCACATCTACTCTAAGATGGGTCTATGGGAGAATAGCGTCGATCTGGCGCTTGCTAAGGGAGACCTGGAGCTTGCTCAGATCAACGCGGACATGCCTGACAATGACCTGCAACTGAGGAAGAAACTGTGGCTCAAGATTGCCAAGTACGTCGTTCAAGACCAAAAGGACATCAAAACGTAAGTACTCAGTCAGTTCTGGTGTTCACCTTCTCATTTCATGGCATGTCGTAGGGCTATGCGCTTCCTGGAGAACACTGACCTTCTGAAGGTCGAGGATATCTTGCCATTCTTCCCAGATTTCGTTGTCATCGACGACTTCAAGGACGAGATATGCAATGCTCTGGAGGGTTATGCAGCCCACATCGAGACCTTGAAAGGCGAGATGGACGAAGCAACCCGCAACGCAGAAGCCATCAAACAGGACATCGCCGCGCTGAGGAACCGGTTTGTCACCCTGGATGCGGGAGAATGCTGTTCGACATGCGGCCAGCTCTTGTTCACAAGACAGTTTTACGTCTTCCCGTGTCAGCATACTTTCCATGCCGATTGTCTCATTGGTCTGGTGCGTTACATGTCGTTCAGTGTATACCCGCACCACCTGACAAACTATCACCGAGCACAGGCTAAAGAATACCTTCCCGCGCATGCCTTGCGCCGCATCTTAGCCCTTCAGAATGAGCTGATGAAGAACACGCAGAAGTCGGTCGATCGATCCACAATCACCACTCCGACTGTGGTTTCTCCAGGCGGACAAGGGCCTCGACAACCACTTTCGCAGCGCACACTGCTATCTGCTAATTTCACCAATCTAACAAACCCGCTACAAAACGGTACAAGAACGGCCAATGCCATTGGCAGGAATCTACTTTCCGCTGGTGATCGCCTGCGGGATCTGATCGTACCCGACGCTCTGGCTTCCGTTGTTTCCGCGCCTGGCTGGATACCCGGTATGGGGGGGAAGAAGACGGAGACCGAAAAGGACGGGGGCAAGAAGACGGAGAAGCTGCGAGCTGAGTTGGACGAAGTGCTAGCGAGCAGCTGTCCGCTCTGCGAGAGCGTGGTAGTTGGCTTGGATAAGCCTTTCGTGAAGGAGGGCGAGATGGATTCCAGCTGGGAACTGTAGGTGCCCTTGATGTGTCGGACTGCTTAGGATATCCCCAAAAAATGATTGTAATACCCAACATGAGTGCTGCAGAGCATCATCGTTGATGACCACAGACACGGAAAAGCCGAGAGTATCAATGACTGATTTTCTTCGTCCTCCCGGCTCTGCGGCGTAATCTCGCAGCCTTGCGAGCTCCCATCTATACCGAACGCGGAATGGTTGGTTGTGTGAGCCGAGTTGCAAAACAAGGACGGCGTACCTTCGCCTTTAGGTCCTCTGCTCTTTGCCTCTCCTCGGCCATCTTCTTCCTTTCCTGGGTTATCTCTCGTCTCCTATCAGGGCACAACAAGGGCATCAGACAGGTGCCCATCAAATATGTTGGGAGCACACTGACCGAGCAATCTCTGCCTGCTTCTCTTCTTTCAATTCCGCCTGCAGCTTTTTCATGGCCTGCTCTCTCTTAGCCTTCTCCATCCGGTCTTCCCATTTCTTGGTCTTCACTCCGTCGGGCAGGGTCGAGCGCCTGTGGGTGGTCAAGTGGTTAGCAGCGAGTCGCAGGATCGAATGAAGGATGTCACATACACGATGGCCGTTTTGCGGGACTTCCAAGGCTTACCCGACGCACGACCGTTGGCGGAGGGGGCAACAGGTATAACGGTCTGTTCAGAGGACAGGCCCGTGTTGTTCGAGGCGGTTGTTTGAGTGTCCGACATCCTGCACGCCTACAATGAAGAAAGCCCCTGGGAGGAGTGTAGCAGGACAGTCTCTCGAAATTGACCGATTTGGAGTATGATTCTCACGACCGCTTATCCTACGTGAAGTGGATGTCGATGTCCGTGAAGAGTTCGGAAGCTCCTTCATGTATGCCTCTCGTAGATAGTGGACGCCCACAGGTGGGAAGTAATGCTACAGCCGCTTGCAGATCGATAGGCCGTCACTTCAGAAAGTCACGTATAGTCGGAGTGTGTCGGACATGGTGCCAGGGACGTCCCAGAAATGAAAAAGAAGTCCAAGTGGTCTGATATTGGGGCCTGGGGGACTTTAATTTCCCTCTCCGGCATGGTCCGACTGTAAATGATTTTCGAGAAATGGGCCCATCGAACTGCAAACGGCTGTAATAAGACGGTTGTAGTCCAAATACATCAACGATTGATTGAGACAGAAGTAGTAACGTTCGACATTTCTATGAATCCCGACATATCACATAGTATGCTCGGGAGGGAGAAGATGATGTGGTGCGACTGTCAATATACACAGACTGTTCACTTGTCATGATTGATTCAAACAGATGTGGCAAGATGACAGGCGAACGTGAGAGGACTACAACCCGCACAACTGTATTCCAGAATGTACGCCGAGTCAACCGACCGTACAAGGGAACTATATTGAGCTAGTGGATGGAGCCTGGACCAACCTTGGGATGTCCGTAGTCACGACACGGCTCCGAAACGATGAGAAAAGCGCTTCATCGAAGGACTCTAATTCCGGCACTATATCACTGCTAGGCTATTGTGACCTGCAAGCAACATATCGGTAACCGCCACGTTGAGTCCTCGTCAAAAGCCCCCTTGAACTTTATCAAGGGTTCGCCACGGCCTGTCAGTCAGGGAAACTGTCGTGGATTCTCTACCTGATATGCTCGGTGAGCAGAAAGTCTGCCACACCAGAATTCCGTTGCTGGGATGCAACGTGGTGGATCTCTTTCTGATTCTCGATGCAGATACCCCTGTCAGCGAGACAAGGTACATAGCTTGGAAAGGGGCGGGCCAATGGGCACTGGCTCACAGCTGGGCGCTCGACGACGCCACTTGACCATTTATGGGGGATGCGATGGATGATCGAGGCGCACACACAAGTTAGTGATTGGCCTGTACTGCGTGGTGCAGAAACTAGGCTGAGAACGCCGGAGCAATGCACCGGCACAACGATGGGAGATCGCGACTGGTCGGCGCGGCTGAGAACGTGCTAGTGTCGGAAGCAACGGAAGAACGCAGTCAGCAGCTGTCACAAAGGCAGGAAAAATCAGTGTAAACCTGCCTGGCAGGCAGCGATATTTGTTCGACATACCCGGAGGAGAAATTCAAAGAGGCCATGTTGCGAGCTCGAATACGAGGATATTGACCGGAAAGCGGTGATTATAAGAAGGCGGTGGATCTGAGGCTGAGATGCTTCTCTCAGATCATTAAATGCTGTTTGCACTTGTTTGTGAGCGTGTAGTGTTCGCTTCAGTTCGTATCTCATCCGAAGCTTCATAGGCTCGCGCTTCCTTCCCCCAGGCTTTCCGGTTGCTGCCCGCCCTCCCCGTCGTCGTCGTCGTCGTCGTCGCGGTCGCGGTCGTCCCTCTCGTCCTCGCCATCGACGCCGCTGCACATGCTCAGCGCTATGCAGTCTCCCAACACCGCGCACGATGAGCACCTGAGACGCCTCCTGGACCAACGAACTGCTCGTGCAGGCCTCCCCAACCGTTTTCCTTCGTATGCCGAGTCTTTCGATTCCCCCTCCATTTACAGCCATCCTGTCTTTTCTCCTCGTCCCGGCCGTTCGGCCGAACAGTCTCACTATGCTCCCAGCGCTATCGAGCCTCGCTCTCCCATGTCTGACCGGGAACGTTTGAACGATCCCGGTGCTAGTACACTGGACCTTGAAGACGACCCTCGGTACTCCTACGCTTCACAAGACTATTCCGATGACGACCATAGTTCTCAACATACTATCGATGACGACGAGGATGATTCTCGCATGAGCGTACTCGGTCCCAAGATGAAGTTCCATTCACCGGCACCCTGGGAAATGGGCGGTGACGTCTTACCTGAAGAGGAGGAACCCGAATCAGGTATTCTGTCCCGTACGCTTTCTGAGCCGAGGTCTGAAAAGACTCGAGGTGGGATGGCGGACGGCATCAAGAGGGGACTAGGTCTAACCAGAGCGGGCTCGGGTGGACGGCCAAGCAACGAGTCCAGTCGCTCCAGCGGTAAAGCCAAGCAATCCTTCGAAACAAACTCCTCATATATATCCCCCGGAGGCGCGTTGCAGTGAGTGCTAATTCATTAAGGCTATGATATAATTAATCCGAATGCTCACCATCGCCTGTGCAGTGCTCTCGCGCGGGCGTCCATGTCCTCCACTTCACTGTCGTTACAGCCATCCTCACCGGCCGAGTCAGCGCCCAAGAAGAAGTTCCCTGTGATGCGCATCCGCACTCAAACCACGTCGACAGCAAATTCCGCGCATTTGCAACCTCCCATGAGTCCCGGTCTGCCCTCCGCCTCTGCGGGCTCGTCCTCTAGCTCAGGCTCCGATAGCCGCACCGCAGCATTCAGGCGACGTAGTCGCTCAGTATCCCCAGCTCCGTCCCCAGCAGCCAATCGCCATGAATACGTGCACCCTTACGCTAACCCAGATTTGGCCTTCTACGATCCACCGCATGAGTCGCCCCGGTCCCCTTCTCATAACCAGCAAGGATTTGCCCATCACATCGCACCGAGTGACTCGGATAGAACGGTCACGGAGGCTAGTACTTCGGCCTCTTGGTCCACCGGCAACGTTATCACGCCTGACAATTCAACTTCCTCGATCACCCATAAAGCGAAAGGATCTTACTCTTCCGGTTCGGGCGAGGGTATTCAGATCAAGGGAATCTCTCGACCCATCGCCTCTCGCAGACCGTCCTTTCCGGACTCTCATTCATCTTTTGAGAGTGTCGGTAGACCATTCGCGCCTGCAATGTCCGTCAGAGGTCTTGCGGGCTGGCAAGATACCCCGTCATCGCCTGGATTCACTCTCATATCTCTTGCGGAAGCTCAAGCACAGGCCAGGGAGAGATCCAGGACCGCTACGGTCCAAGGTGCTCCTTCTCATTCCATCATCAGTGGACCCATGCCGTTTCCGTCGCAGGCTCCGGAAAATAACACTGCGGAGCAACGGTCGGGTACGTCGAAGAATACTTCCAACAGCAGCCCGACTAGCTCTACTTTCCGGACGAGGGCGCGTTCGATCAGTGCTGGCGCCAGGGCGAAAAATGCCTTCCAGGGTATGGGCGACTTGGCACGGGGTAAAGGCAGTGGCAAGGAAAACGAAGCTCAAGGGACTTCGGTTGATGACCATACCGCGAATGAAGCGCCCACACGGACAATCAAGCAAAAGAAAAGTGGATTTATGCGCCTTTTCCGGGACAGAGAGAAGGACAAGATGCAGTCGCACGCTATTCCGCCGGTGCCACAGTTGTCGTCCGATGCTCTTGGAACTAGCGGATATGGCAACCAATCCCAGTCTGCTGCACCGCGGCGAACTCAAGACCTCAAACGAGTACCGGTTCCGTCCTTATCACCTTCTCTCCTTGCAGAAAGCGATGGTCTGCTACGCCCTGGTAGGTCAGACTCTGACCCTCGGAAGAGCTCTCCGAGCCCGCGTCGCGGGACACCGCCTTCGTTGTCAATAATTCCTCCGAGCGGTCCCCCGCAGACCCTAAAAGAGCCCTTCAACCCGGAGGGCGAGAGAGGTCGGAGTAGGACCGCCACTCCGACTGCTGTTCTATCGGCTATCGAGAAATCGTCAGGTGGTCTCGTTATATCGTCCTCGCCGAGGAGCGCACCGCCTGAAGTCTCTGACTTTCAGGGCCTCAGCCTACGACCGGTCTCGACTGCCTTCAGCGCTCATTTCTCGGACCATCTGCTTCCAGATCCTAATGACAGGAGCCCGAACCGCGACTCCGACTTGGACCTTGATACGCCAACGACCATGAACACGGCTGTCACTAGTCCCAGCATATCCAGCTCGCCGCTTGGGTACGGCTTTCCCAGCATTGACTCTGTTCCGGGGAACAAGGGGGTGTCTGTCGCTGTGCCTGGTGAGGACCAGTCCGCTGTGATCCAGGCGTTGCAGGAACAGATCATCTCTGCAAGGAAGGGATGGCAGATGCAAATCTGGGAGCTGGAGGGACAAGTCCGAGAGCTCAAGGCCGAATTAGATCAACTGCGCGCTACTGGGAACAGCAATAACAACGGTTATTGCGAAATGTGTGGTCGGGGCTCCGCAGCACCTGGCGAGAGTGGACATGATGGCGGCAAAGCAACTGTCATCAATAGACCCAGGGCGCCCACTGGGATTGGTGGTCGCTTTGGTTGCAGCGACTAACTGTAGATAGATTGGATTGGGACTCGACTACTGCGGACTCAACTTGTATCCTTCACTTCCTTGACGCAGCTGCTTTCTGTAGCACCTCCGTGCAAACCCCTCCGCTCCTTTACCGTGTTCTACTTATCCTTGTTGGATAAGGTTCTATTTATCTAGGGCTTGGTCCCGTAATTACATTTATTCATCATTATGTCTACTTTCCTGTTGTAATGTGTCGTCCACCCTCATTGTTGTTTCCCCCCACCAGCTCACCGTAGCAGCTACTCTATAGTCTAGCCCTGACCTGTAAATGTCTCTGACTCGATCAACATGGGTGTCGCATTGGTACTCGCTTGCGCATACTGGCTGCTTCGGTAACCTGTTCCATGCCATGGTGCGACCTCAAGGTATCTGAGAGCATGAACGTTAAGAAACAAATATTTATCGAAACTTCTGATACGCGACAGAGTGAAGTAGAGTACTATGCCTCCTCATCCGCACCGATGAGCCAACCAATACCCTTCTGGAATACTCGAGTGGCCTGAGCGGAGACTTCATCAGTATTAAGTCTGACCCTACTTCCGTCCCGGCTTCTGGAGCTGCCTTCCGACCCAGGAGATTGAGCTCGATGACCAACGGAGAAAGGGAAGTTCGCGGCGACGCGGTGGAAAGTCCTGCTGGCTAAAGCTGCGGGATCGGGACTACCGACCAGCGGGGCCAACGGCGACGATGGCATACGGAAATCGGGCATCTGAATGCGCTGCAAGCGCTCCGCTAAGCTTGGGATGGAACGCGCTTGCGGATGTCGTTTACGCGGGGCAGCCTCTGAGCCATTCCGACGAGCCATGATTCTGCCTTCTCTATATTCAACGTCCTCGTCTTCGAGACGATGCCACGAATGTAGGATATCAGGAAGTTTGTCAGGAGGACAGAACTCAAGCGCCCAACCCAGAAGGCGCATCTTCTTCTCTACTTCATCGAACTCGGGTTGACGTCCCAGTTGATAACAGGCAATCCAGCATACTTCAGAGCATTCCTGTGTCTTGGGATCCTCGATGCCGGGGGGAACGGTAGACCTAATATCCAATACTTTGCCCACCATGGCTTCGATAGTATCGAAGGCACGAGCAAAGTCTTCCGCTTGTAAAGCCGTGTCTGCGAGCATAGCATAGGTTTTAACCTCTGCGATTTCATCTCCTTGGAACCCGAGCTTGTGAACAAGCTCCAGAATCACATCCCGATGCTTGTATGCATCTGGATTATTCGAAAGCAGCCGAGACACAAGGGAAAGGCGATCTTTCGTGAGCCGTATTTCAATGGGTGAAATTGGGACCCCGGAACGAGACGTGACATTGTACGAAGACAAACGCGAGGTCGCCTCGATGAATTCCTTCTCTTTCACCAGTATAGGTGTAGGGGAGGGCACGTCCAGACTAGAGTAGCGGAGCATGTAAGGCAAGGCAAAGAGTTACTCAACGAGGCTATTGCCACATACCAATCATACGCCAATTTCATGTCACCATGAGTGTAGTTACCAGAGCTTGCGTTATCATAGAATTCGCGTGAAGCGGATAGACAAATGTCCTCGACAACATCGGCATCAAGTCGCAGCTTCCCCCTGGGATTCCGTAGGATGGCCTTGGCAATTGGGAACTCTACGAGAATATGCGGTTAGTACTGAAGCCAGGATGGAATATTGCAGTTACTGACTACCACAGCTCAGAAGACCAGCGAAGAAGATCTTCTTAATCTCCTCTCGAGACAATAGCCCAAACGCTCCCTTGATGCCGCCATCACCCGTCCCGACCAACTTGAGCATATCATCCAAAAGCCACTCCCACTCTTCTTGAGTGTCGAGCTCTTCTTCAGATCCTCCGGCCCGCCTTGCCATCCTGTTGGCCCATGCCCGCTGTTCGACCATGTCATTTCTGCTCTGCAAGAACCACCGCAAGGGTGCGGGAACGCCCCATCGCGCGAGGATCTCTCCTGATTCCAGATGTACATCGAGAACGTCCAAGATGTGAGACAACGAAGTCGACGGTAAAGGATTGAAGAAAACTAGAAGATCAGAAGCACTAGCCCTCGGTGAGGTAGTGGATGGCGTGACAAAAGCGCCCAGAGATGTGATCGTTGTATCGGCTTCATCCTCTTCCTCGTCATTGGCATTCTGCCACGCAGGCAAGCATTCAAAAATCCGACTCATAGTCGGCCATTCGTCTAAGCTATCGCTGCCATAGAGGCAAGCAAGAGCAAGTCGTACCATGTCTTCATCGTCCTTAATCAGACGCTGAGGTGCAGGGAAGGTTGGCTTCGACGCTTCAAACACTGCAGCTGCCATTGTTAGAGGCAGGGACATTATGTAGTCATAGAGAAGGCGGTTGGAAAGAGAAGGATCCGGTATGCCGGCGCGCTCGGCCCTTGATTCGAGAACGAATAAGTAGGGTAACACGAGGGCGCGGATATCCTTCACTAATGTGGATGGAGTCGAATGCAGGAGATATGCACGAATGATCGCGGACGGCTCGGTTGATTTCCAGCGCTCAAGAGTCCACTCGTCTGAATCGTCCATTGTGTCAGATTCGTTCCCAGGCTTGGGAGCATCATATATGAGCCTGGACAGCAGACTAAGGTCTTCTCCTATCTCGTCAAGGTCTGGTATGCCTCTGGCAACAGAATGCTGCACGAAAGCCAGCGCAGTGTCCACCATGCCAGTCACAGAAATGATAACATCGATTCGGCGCTTGCACCACTCGGTGAGGTCTGACGCAGTCAAAGGTTCCTGATGAACCCGAGCCCGCAAAGAGTACCCGTCTATGGGCGGCGGAATATCGACATTCAGGAAATCAGGTTTTCGTTCCCGACTAGTGTATGGATCATATTCCGGAAGGAACTCGCGGTAAGCTTCTGGATCAGCCAGCTCTGGGATGGCTTCGAGTATGGAGAAGCGATACGGCCATAAGTGAGACCCATGTCGGTCCATCAGGATTCTGAGCGCCGCAAACTCTTCCCTTGAAGCAAGCAGGCGTGCTATGTAAGCCAGGTCCGCTGTGAGGAACTGGGTGAGTGGTAATGGCGGTGTCCCGAGTCGTGCGGACGACGTAGATGATGTCTTCTGTACGGAGGGCGAGCCAGATGCTTCCTCTCCACCGTCAGCTTCCGCCCAAGGGTCATCCTCCCACTCTTCATCAAGATCACCTTCAGAAGTAGGAGCCGAGACCTTGCACAACTCGACAAATGTGTTCAAGCGTTCTAGACGGGCAAGCAGCAGCGACCGTACTCGCTGCATCCTCTCGTCTGCGGGTTGCGGGGGTTGTCCATTCGATTCGTCCTTGGACGGGGTCGTAGCTCTGTCACCGTCGTCAACTCCGGATTGCCAGCTGCGAACGGCTCCCAGTACTGCATTTCCTGCAGTAGCCTGAGTACGCTGAAGGCCAAAAGTAAGCAAGGCGTGCTGCACTGACACGTCCTCTACAACGCGGTCCGTACAAGCCGCTGCAACCCATAAGTCATCTTGCACCTTCCCTAGGACACTGGGTATCGCGTCAGCCGTTATTTGTTCATCGGAGAGATTAGTCCACTGAGTATATAGTTCGGCAGTAGAATCAGAGACTGGGATGTTGGACATAGCATGCGAGACGACTCGGGAGCACAGGACGTGTTCTCTAGCAGGCGTGGGACAAACCGTTGGATCGAAGCAACCTGGCTTCATTATTGTACACGTGCACGTTGTGACCACTATAATTTTGCACATGTGTTTACAGCATTGCTCGACCTGTCACTAAAGGGTGTGTTGCTAGGAATACACGGCTTAGTCTGGACTTGTCTATGCTATAATATGTACAGGTGCCAGATCATTAGGAACTCAGCTGAGCACTTCAACACCGAGTCGTCTATGTATGATAGTGGGTCCATGAGATATCCCTACCGCACGGCCTTATAGATCCAGCAAGATGAAGAATACCTGACCCTCCAAATCAAAACAGTGTCTCCTATTCGAGGGTCAGTACGAGTGGACGCGTGCATAGACTTACTACATACCTCGTCCCGCAAGTATTCACCGACATCACTACAATGAACCAAGTCAACAACAAGAATATTGGGAATGCACCGTGTTACATACGCTTGATGGAACACGAGGATTGCGGTGGGGTCTAACTTCCGAGTGTCCACAGTTGATCGAGCAGTGACACCGAACCCCTGCATCTGGATGTCAACATCAGAAGGCACGTATGTGAAAGCAACGGACCAATGGAATATCATTCATGCTGTAGACCACAACGCCCTGGTGCTCCGGTGTATCCTCCGTTATCCGCCCAAGGTGGGCCTTCAATACATGATTTCCATACAAGAACGGCATTTCGCCGTTAGGTTTTATCCACACCTGCACTCCAGTCTCACATCATAGACCCAGGCGCTGACGAGCTGAGCATACCTTGTACTTGGCATATTGTGCCAAATAGTCCAGGGCGGTGATTTGCAACTTGAACTTGCCGCTTTTCGTGAATTTGCCAAAGCACGTCCCTAGACTGACGAGATTTGGTCGTGCTACCGAGATAGCAAGGCGCATAGAAGCTTCTGAGACATAATAAACCCTGTCCCTGTGCAGCCGAAAACAGTATGGCTCGTCTGGCCGGTCAATGAGCTGTATCAAGTTTTTGCCCTGCAAAGATATGAGGCTCGCCACAGGGATAAAGCAGCGCGATCTGGACGCACGATGAAGTTGGCCAACTTCGCGAAGACAAGCTTGCTCTCCTCCTCTGTCAACGGGCGCATGTTTCTTCCCCAGTAGTAGCGTTCGCGGTTCCTGCTTGCGTCTGAAGTCTGAGGATAACGAGGAGCACTGACAGTTGAACTGGACCTACCAGCAGAAGAGCGTATTTAAAAAGCTTGGATTGTATTACGTAACATATTGCGGGGGACTTGCCGCCGGCTCTTCAGAGATCTGTCTTAGATTTCTGGTCGAGACCTGCTACAGACTGCCTTCTCGACCAAGTCAAACTTGAACGTAACTGAACACGGCTCAATCGACGCTCGTATCAAGGTTTATCTGTACAGGACCGCGGCTAGAACTTGTGACTGGTCTAATAGAGTGCTGGATTCCGTCTTTGGTCATGTCGGCGCCCTCGTTCTCGTCATTTCCCCCTTCGTTCTCTTCGTTCCCGGACCCAGATGCTGGTCCGAGCCGTGCGGGTTCGCCTCCCGACACAAAGGGCGACGGCAGGAAGAGTCATCCCAAGGTCAAGGAGCACAAGGACAAAGAAAGCAGTAAGTCAAAGAGGCATGAACGAGAGAAAGTGTCATCCCACAGGCACAAGTCCAAGCCTGAAAGGCAACCCGATCATTCCTGGGACCTGGAGTACGACGAACGTATCAAAGAGGGAGAAGACAGCAGGAGGAAGCGGGGCGATCCTTCTCAGCCCTCGAGGGCTAGCTCGCCGCCGCTTTACTTCACTGACAAGAAGGGGGATGCTCTCAATGTCACATACGGAGGGCTGCATACAGGGTCTATCCCCAAATATCATGTAGTCGCTCGTGAGTTCCCCGCAGACTTGATCCTCCGGTATCTAATGATTCCTAAGGTGGAAGGCAGATACTCGGCCTCCCTCGAGGCTGGACTGTGGTCCATTGGAGCGGCAAAGGCGTGGAAGTGGGCGCAGGGACCCGGCGGAAGGTGATATTAATTTCTGAGGTGTACGTGCAATTACTAACATCTCATAAGCAGATGCCGTCCTTGACAGACTCTCGATCTCGCAAGCTACTGCAGTCCGCCCCTACCCGCAGACTGCTCGCATCTGATCAGAAGTACAAATACGATGAAGTTGAAGGGTTCCTGCGCATCCGTTCAGGCAAGGCGCGATCGGAGGATGAGACGTACCGCTCCATTACGCGCCGGTCAGTAAATCCAGACTCTGATTCTTCTGGGTCTTCCGAGTCAGAAAGGGAAGATGACCTTACGTCTGATGATGAAGCGGATGCCACGCCCCTTACAGCCCTTCAGATCAAGTTGAAGGAACTAGAGCAGCAGATCTCGGCCGACCCATCCAATGTGCATACGTGGCTATCCTTGCTGTGGTATTCGCTTTCCAATGTTCCCATCACCTCCAAGAACGCAAACAGGGCGCGAACGGACATCGCTGTCTCCGTTCTCGCGCGCGCATTGTCAGCGCATCCTAAGAATCGTAACTCGACGCCCCTACGCCTAAAATACATTAAGGCGGGTGAAGAGGTGTGGCATGAGAGCAAGCTGCGATCGGAGTGGGAAAATGCATTGCAAGAGGTCAACGATGTGGATGTTTGGATTGCCTGGTTCGACTGGAGGCTTAGAAAAGGTGAACGGGGCATTGAAGGTATGATGCAGGACGCCAGCAGAGTCCTGAACAGCCTGCAACATGATGAGGTCGGTCAACTGAGGGTGATATGGAGAGTCGCGGTCGCTCTTCGGGATGCAGGTCAGCTTTCTTTGTCATGGGCGAATATTGATGGTGACTTTCATATCGATAGGTTATGTCGAACGGGCTGCTGCTGTCTTTCAAGCTCAGGCTGAATTGTGAGGCTATGTCTATATTCTGTTTGCGCTTGACTAAGACCGTAATTAGGACCTTCGAGGTACCGCAGTCTATGTACGGCCTGCCCCTGGAGCATCAACTTGACGCTCTAGAGGAGTTCTGGGAGTCTGAAGCGCCTCGTCTGGGCGAACCTGGAGCTCAAGGCTGGGCTTCCTGGATAGCTTCCGGTCGGCCTGACTGTGCTCCGGCGAACTCGCGGAGCCGCGCGCCTTCAGTTGATTCAGGCGACACAGACCCATACCGTAGGTGGTCTGCAGAAGAACTGCGCTCTGATAAGGACAACTTCTTGCCATCGCGGTCGGTGGACGACGTGGATGATCCGTATGCTACGATACTGTTTTCCGACATAAGGCCACTCTTGTGCAATCTCACTTCCCAGAAGACCAAGCATGCTTTCAGGCTGATATGGATATCTTTCCTGGGTTTGCACATACCGGGCTTCGCGGCGTCTCTATCACCTAGGCCATCGGGGAGTATGGATGATAGATGGGCTTATGATGCATTCGCCAATGAACACAAGCTCAATGCTATCCTTCCGCGGGATAACAAGAGACACCTGATAACCGCGGATTCCTTCGCTGGCGTCTTAGTCGGCCGGGAGCGGGCGTACAGCAGCGAATTTGGGCCGGTGAAGAACTGGGGATACGACATCATTGATCCATTGGACAGCCTTCTTGACAGCAATGGTAGGGGCAAGGGCGCGTTCTGGGACCAACAGGACGTGGCAGGTGTGGATTCAGAGTTGATCAGGCGGGTGTTTAAGGCCTGTCGGCTCGGTGGGGTCGACGGTAAGGATGCGGAATGGGATGCTTTGGCGTTGGCCTTTGAAGCAGCGCAAAGTATTAAGAGGTATGTATGCTGCGACGGTCATACATCGCCATCGTTGTCTGACTGTAGTTCACGTTCTCAGCGCTCTCAAATTATCCAAATCTTATCTTTCTATGGCAAAGGACTCGCTAGCTCATTGGGCAAACCATGCTCGTCTAGAACGCTTGCGCGGTCGCCCTGCCGCCGCGCGAACAGTTTACAGCAATGTCCTCATTGCCGCCATGCCTGCCAACGCGCGACGACCTGCACTACACTGCTTATGGTGGGATTGGGCGCAGATGGAGTGGCTCGCTGGCGACACGGATGCCACGCTGCAAGTCATACTGAAGTCTGTCGATATGCAAGGCTCGGGTGGCATTGTAGTCTTGAGATGCAAGAGAGCGCTAGAAGACAAGATCAAAAGTATAAAGGATCCGCAACTATGGAAAGAGAAGCAGGCTTTGATATGCTTGAGGGCCCTTGCTGACTTGCTTACTTCTGGTCCTTTGGCGGCGCTTACTGTTTTCGATGAATATTTACTAGGCTTAGAAGCTCCCAGTCCTGGAAGCCACGCCCACGAGAGCCTCAATATCGCTTCCTTGGTGATGTTGTATCATTACGGATATACTCTCCGCAACCCCATGGCTCCGGGGCTCCTCCGAGATCGGGTGCACTCTGTCGTCGATCACTACCCCGGCAACACTTTTGGCATTAGACTGCTCTTGGAGGTAGAAAAGGGCCAAAGCGTGTGGGGCCGGGTGAGGAGCTTGTTATCCGAAGAGACCCACAAAGGGAAGGATAAGGACATGGCCAGGAGATTGATGGAAATTTGGATCTCTCTCGGGTGGGAGAAAGGCAAGTGGGAAGAAGAGAAAGAGCGAATAAGAAACGCCCTGGGATTCGCTGTCGAAAGCGATAGGTAAGGCAGTCGTTCCGTACATCTGGCGCATTTCGATTGATCTCCACTTCACAGGACTCGGGGAAGTGCCATTCTTTGGAGGATAGCAATCGAGTTCGAGTTTAGGAACGAAGACTGGCAAAGAGCGAGGAATCTTGTGTTCCGAGCTATCGGGGAATGTCCACTTGTGAAAGGTGCGCAAATACATTTCCGTGCATGTAGAGTGGGACTTAAACACGTGTGGCAGAGCTGTACCTTCTCGCGTTCGGTCCGTTACGGCGTGCCTTCAGCCCACAAGAACTGAATGGATTCGCAGAGACGATGGCAGAAAGGGGGATCCGAATGAGGAAGGGTCTCGACGAGGTGTTGGAAGGCTGGGTGGCTCCGGCTCGAGAAATGCGGGGACGGGGGGACGATTATGGAGATGAAGAGATTGAACATCGAGCTGACGAGCTGAGAAGATTAATGCCTTACCACTGATAGTTTTCCATTCAATGACTGATGTCGTATTTTGGTGTCATTGAGGACTATCTGTGGACTATAGCCCCATGGAAGTGCAATATCCGTCTCATGCGACAGGGCCCTGGTCGATGAATATTCGATGAATGGCCGGGGCTGCATTGTTCCTGCCACTGGTCGCCACATGTGTTGTTTGGACCAGCGTCCCATTGTTTGTGGCTTGCATGGATGTGACGCGGTGTCACGTCACGTCAATAGACTCTCCGTTACATACTGCCACTGTCTGCGTCGACGAACACGAGGCACTGCTCTCCCCAGCAGTTTTCTCCTCGCTCGCCCAAAGGCATTCTCTGCGGCTTTATCCTGCTTTATTGTTCGACAATCCTTCCCGCTTTTCCCGCTAATGCTATAATCACGGCCCACTTGATCCGCTCTCTGTATCCCTACCCCACTGCGCCAGTTTCACACACCCGCTCCATCCACTATCCCACTTCTAGGGCCTAATACTATACTCGACCTTTGCCTAGTTTCCCACTTCACGACTATGACTACGATCCCGGCCCCCTCTGGTGCTCTCGCTCGAGAAGAATGGCCGGACGCCGACTTCGAGCTACCCGACGACGAACCTCTCCATGCATCGGACGCTGAGTCAGATAAGGATGATGACGACTTGGACTGGGACAACGAGATGGGTCTGGGGACGACAGGCGGGGCGAAGGCTGAGGCTGTCATCGCCGGTATGGCTGCTCGTTCAGAGTCACGGAGGAGTTCTACACAGTTGATCACCATTCGTCCGCCTCTATCGTCTTCAGAGGACAATGATGAGGACGAAGAAGGGATATCTACCATCAAAGTCTCTGCTCTGCCGATCTTCTCCAAACCCTCTACACAGCCGGCGTCTGCTCCCATCGACGAGGACTTGGAAGCCGACTTCGCCCTCCCCGAAGAATTGACCCAGTTGTCCCTGCGCCCACAGTCTCTCCACCATCAGTCCTCCAAAGGTTCTCTAGAGTGGGGAGATCAGACATCCTCCTCGCAGTCATCGGATGCTCCTTCGACGCTTGGTCTTGCCGAACACTCGTCATCATCTACATATACGTCGGCATCCCTCCCAGAGACCGAGACCGAGGACGAGAACGAGGAAGAGGATGATGGTGAGCTCGATGGGCTCGTAATTCCTGCAGGGATTTTCGAGTCCAAGCAAGGTGGTAAGCACCTTGCGAAACTATTAGAGTTGAAGAAGAAGAAGCCTGTGGTTGAGGAACGGATAAAGATCGCCAGTCCCGATCCTGAGGATGACTTCGAAATTGGACTTGTCATCGACGATGATGCGGACTTTAGTCCGAGTCGAATGCTACACCATGCTCAGCAGCAACAGTCTAAACGTACCGCTGAAGGTCGTAGTAAAAGTGCGCCATCGCGACCTCCCCCTTTACAACGTCCACCATCCCGACTTCGAAGCGATCGTGCCAAGTCGCCCACTAATCCGCCGATCTCATCCGCGCGGCAGTTCTCGAGGCTGAACATCAAAACGTCCCCTCCACGCCCCGGAATGCCTCGTGCCCAAACAGCAAGGAACGCAACAGCAAATGCGCCTGCATCCCCTCCCTCCTCTTTCCTTACCCCCAAACCTGGCAGTCTGCGAGGGCAGAAGTCTCAGCCTGGCCTGAAGCCTCCCTCACCTCCATCCTCGCAGAGGAAGATGACGCGCAAGGCGTCTTTACCCGCCCTCACAGATTCGATGTTCCAGGCGCAGCCTCCTGTAGCCGGACCTTCGTCAACCAAACCCCCCGCGGCCACGTCACGTTACGAGCAACACACTGCCGCCTCCCGTGCAAAGACGAGTCACAATAGCTCAACGGGACGCATGCATGGTTCCGAGTTCAAAGTTCCCCCTACGCGACCCTCAACTCCCTCCTCTAATCCTGCCGCACTTCGTCTCACGATGCCAACATCGTCTTCGCGCATGAAATCTCGCCCTGCAATATCGTCTGTCTTCCCTCCCGCCCACACACCAACATCGCAAACCCGTCCCACATCACCATTACCTCCCCGCCCACATTCTACCGCTTCTACCGTTTCGGCCAGGGCAAGAACGTCGCCTTCACAGACAACTAAACCAACTGCGTCGGCACCAAAGGTTCTCAAGCGCCCAAAGAGACAAAGAACATATGGTGACGGGACGGAGCTAGATAACTTCGACGATTTGCCTACAGACCGCGACAAGGAGATGAGATATAGAGTACAACCCAAAGGGTTTGGGAACAGGGTCCCCGGCGGCACGTACTCAAAGGTGGTTGATGGTAGCAAGGGCACGGTTCGGAGGAAAAAACAGGGCAGTACTGGTACGTGTGGCACTTGCACTATGATTGACCGCGGCTCACCTGCGTTCCCTTGATATAGAGCCTGGTGGGAATGCATTACGACGAGCAGGTCGTATTGAGTTCCCTGCTCAGACTGCAAGCGAAGAACCAGCCACGAAGAAGAAGAGGGCTTCAGCTTCATCACCCACAACGAGACGCAAGCCTACGCTCATACGCAATTTGGGCGGTGCTGGCGCTCCAAAAGGTTCGTCGATTAGCAATAGGACTAGGCAATAAACTGATCGCGATGCCATTAGTGGTTGGGGACATGAAGTGGAACCCTCAGACGCTGCGGTGGGAGGGCAATGATCAGGTCCTTCGCGACTTCGACGCTGTAGTCGGCACGTCGACGCGGCCTGCACTGATTACACATCTGACGGGATCGTCGATGGGTTCCCCCGTTGGGTCGTTCGCGTCAGGCGCACGACTGGTTGGGAACATGATGTTCGACCCTCAGAAGATGTGCTGGATATCGACGTTGCCACCTGAAGAAGACGAGCCGGATGTCTTCGCAGACCTAGCCGATGACGAGGACGACGCGGACGGTTGGGAGACAAAGGGTGGCACGATTCGGGCCAGCCAGCAGGGCGTGGCTGAACAATCGTCAGACGCCAGCCGCGTATCAACTGCCACCCGGATGTCGACACCTAGTCCAGCGCCTGCGCGCAGCAGAAGTATGTCGGAATCCGAGAGCGATCGCGGCTCGCGGGCGTCGATGTGCGTCGCAGACGTGGACGAGATATTCGTGGAGGAGTGCCGGCTCGCGGAGGAGCGGCATCGCGCTGAGATGAAAGGATGGCGGCTGGATCAGCCTCTTCGGCACGCTGAGCCTGACCGGTCGTATCTGTACGAGATACGCGCGCTCGCGACGCGGCGTTATTGACGCTGCTTGTTTATATGTCTTTTTTGTTTCCCTTCCTGTTTATATTCCATTCCCGGTGCCGGTAATATTTCCTTGCGCTTCTGGTGTACATTCTTCTCATTGGTCTCGTCCACTAATGAACACTGTCCCCTGTCGCTCCTTCCCTTTCCCGAGTGTATATTTCTCGTCTTTTATTCGATTTTGCAGTTTTGTTTTGCTGTGTCTAGCACCCACACTCTCGTTTGCCATGTATCTGTTGTTTCCTCGATAAGTGAATATGATTTATGACCTCCCGAACTTATGAACCTCTGCACTTTCGATCGGCATCGGACTGCTTATCTCAGTCGCGATGCTCCTTTATCGTAGACGTCAATGTCATGGCCAGTACTGCCATTACGGTTGGTAAGATCGATGCGGGGGTAGGTCGAATTGTCTTGCGTCTGCACGGGTCCTCCGCTGTGTTTTCGGAACTATCCTCCACCTATCCCCTGAAATTACTATCACCTCGCATAGAACAAGATGGGGTCGCTGTGGTCTACAATATGAGCTACGGAGGGGGTTTGGTGGGGGGCGATCGTATCCAGTTGAGCGTAGATATAGGAAGCGGGGCATCACTCGTCGTGCTCACTCAGGCCAGTCGGGTCTATATTTCGCGTTCAGACCAAACTTACATGCAGATCTCAGGGGTCTACAAAGGTGTTCAAGACACGGCCGGGAGCGAGAGCGTCCACGCGGAACGCCAGTGAGATCACCGAGCAACGCATGACGGTCAGCGTAGCGGACGGCGGGGCGATCTTCCTCCTCCCGGACCCAGTCACCTGTTTCCGCGCGGCGTCGTACAACCAGCTGCAGGCCTTCCACCTCGCACGCGGGGCATCGGCCGTGTTGCTGGATTGGGTCACGGCAGGGCGCAAGTCGCTCGGGGAGGAGTGGTCGTTCGCGCGGTATTACAGCTTGAACGAGGTGGTCGTCGAGGGAAAGAGGGTCGCAAGGGACGTGATGTGTCTAGAGGAGCAGGGAGAGAACGCTGGGCCGTTGGAACGACGTACACTGTGTGAGCGACTGGCGCCCTATTCGTGCTATGCCACTGTGATCCTGTGGGGCCCGCTGGTGGACGGCGTAGTGACGGACCTGGAGGCTGCGTACCGAGATATTACGGTGTTCAGGCGGAACGCGCCGCCGTCGCTGCTGTGGTCACTTAGCCCGCTGGTGGAGTCTTCAAGTTCGCGGCAGGGGCGTATCGTGCGAGTGGCTGGAAAGGAGACGGAACAGGTGAAGCACTGGCTGGCGGACGCGCTGAGGGCGCTCGAGGAGGTGATTGGGACGGACGTCTACCGGAAAGCCTTTGTATGACGGCCATCCTGCCAATAGAGCCAGTTCCAAGTGAATCCCGAGGTCACAGGCGAGGCGTTGACTGCCGGATAAGGTCAAGTCTGTTATCGCTAGACATTCGGATACGAGTCTTATCGACTGGTCACAGTCCTCAGCGCTAAATCCTCTCCCGGTTTACTTCATCGCTTGACTCTTCAGATGTTTATAGACTCCTCCTTCGCGTGCCCCGCAACCCAGCTCGCGCCATGTCTGAAAAGTCCTGCAAGAACGACCACGAGCTCGGCGTGCACGCGGACCCCGTGCCAGACGGCCAGGATGCCATCTACCGCCCGGAGGTCGACACTTCGGGCGTGGATCAGAAGAAGCTCATGAGGAGGATCGACATGCACGTCGTCCCGTGGCTGGGAGTTCTATACCTGCTCAACTTCCTCGACCGAGGAAGTATCGGGAATGCGAAGGTGCGTCTTCTCCGGACCAGAACGCGCAGACGCATATGCTCACTATGTCCGCGCTGCATAGCTCTATAACCTTGAGAAGGACATCGGGATTACGGACAGGCAATACCTCATTGCGCTTACCGTCTTCTTCTTCCCTTACTCCCTACTCGAGGTGCGTGGTATGACGTGAGGTCGACCGAACATGCTTGACTTGGATTATATTACAAGCCTCCGAGTAACGTAGCCCTCAAGAAGCTTCGTCCCTCAAGATGGCTGTCCTTCCTGATGCTGGGATGGGGAATCGTCATGGTGGGTCTCACCTTGTCCAAATGGCGCTAGACCTCACTCGATCGTAGACCTTGCACGGTGTCATGCATGATTATGCCGACCTTTTGAGTGAGCGGCTTCCATTAATGCATTCATCCTCTATCTAATCCGCATGCAGCTCTGCGATTCTTCCTGGGTTTCTTCGAAGCCGGGTTGTATCCAGGCATCGTATTCTACGTACGTTCCGCATGCCTTCATCCCAGGACTCGGATCATCTGACATCCCCTTCGTAGATCTCATGGTGAGCATATGTGCATAGATCCTAGCCATGCAGCACCCCTTCACACGTTTGAAGTTGGTACAAGCGCTCCGAACTTGGTTCGCGCGTAGCCGTTTTCTTCTCATCAGCAACCGTAGCCGGAGCCTTCAGTACGTCCGTTCACATACACCGCTGACATCACATCCTTAATCACACGTACCTAGGCGGCCTCCTCGCCGCGGGCATCCAGAACATGCACGGCGTCGGCGGCAAGCCCGGCTGGGCGTGGATCTTCATCCTCGAGGGCCTCTTCACTGTCCTCTGCGCCGTCGCGTCCTTCTGGATCATCCAGGACTTCCCCGACACCGCCAAATTCCTCTCCGAGCCCGAGCGCGTATGGGTTGTCCGCCGCCTCCAGGAGGACCAGCAGTTCAGCGCAGGCGGGGAGAAGTTCCAGTTGCGGTATGTGTGGGATAGCTTGAAGGATGTGAAGACGTGGTTGGCTAGTAAGTGCTTCACTGGGCACCATGCCGACTAATCGTTGACATATTCTCTTATAGTGGGCATTTATGCTGGCTTGTGAGTTACGTCTGCCGTGCATGGCGAGCATGCAACTCATTCCGAGATGCCAGCGACGGGCCTCTGTTTGCCTTCTCTTTGTTCACGCCGACTATCATCAACCAGTTAGGGTACACGGCGACCATCGCGAACCTCCTCTCTGTCCCCGTATATGCATGGGCATGTCTGGTCACCGTCGTAGTCGGCTTCTGGGGCGACCGCATAGGCCACAGGGGTGTCCTCAACCTGTACGCGATGAATCCTGTGCCACCGCTGGCGCTCACTAACCATCTGACACTGGTAGAGTCCTCTTCGGCACGGGTCTGGTCAGCTATGTCATCCTGATAGCGTCCAGGAACCCGTCCCTGTCGTACTTTGCAGTGTACCTGGGCGCCTCGTGAGTGCTGCTGTGTCTGGGCTCTTGGCACGTCGCTCACACGACCGACTCTACAGTGCCATCTATCCAACGATCCGTATGTTTTCCCATGTGATGGCCGGTGTAGATGCTGACCACAGCCTGTCACTGCATTTGACATAGCCAACTCGGTGTAGGTGCCCTGCAGGGTCCTTCCCCGTTGAGACTTATGTGGCTGATGTGCTATGTAGCGCGTGGGTGTCGAGTAATACGGAAGGGTCTTACAAGCGCAGCGTTACCTTGGGCATGGCTATCGGGTTGTAAGTGGCGGTTTCAGCGACGGTTCTACCTTCCGTCTCTAACTTAATCACAGCGGGAATCTCAACGGCGCCGTCTCCTCCAATGTGGTATGTCCAACTCACTTCACAGCGTCCCGCCTTCCACTCACTTCTCCCGTACCCCAGTACCGCGCCGTCGACAAGCCCTGGTACAGCCTCGGGCACGGGATCATCCTCGCGTACCTCGCCATCGGCTGGCTGTCCTCCCTCGCCCTCCTGATCTACGTGCGGCGCGAGAACGCGCGCAAGGCCGCAGGAGCGCGCGACGAGGTGATCGAAGGCGTGGACAACAAGCTCGCGCATCCGCGGAATGGGACGTTCGCGAGTGTGGACGAGGCGAGGCGCGAGAGGGGGGATCGGTGGAGCGGGTTTAGGTATACGTTATAGTGGGCGCTGGTGTTGTTGTACGTGTACATATAGTTATGGGTGCGTAAAAGTACGGGCATTATTTAAACCTATGTTTGCAATGTGGCGCTTGTGATATTTTTCGCCCTGACTACACTTCTACCATGCGTAGCCGGAGGACGCCGGAACTTGCAAGACGCCCTTAGCTATGCGTGTAGGCAAGTTCTCCAACCGACTACGTCGGGAGTCCGAATATGGCCGAAAACAAATACGTCCGAAAACGGAATCGTCCGAGTGGTCGCGCAAGAAGGAGGCTAAACGTCTTCTCGACGCCCAGAACCAACGCGTCGCGCTGCAACTCCGTGATAAATGAACTGAGGATCGTATGTTCCCGTCACCTTCCATGCTATGTGGCGCATATTGCACGAATTCTCCTTATCGCCAAAAATCTTGGTGGGATAGCGGGTTCAATCCATTAGAAGAGCATATGCTTGATCTTTCTATCCAACACAGATAGGGTAGCAATGTAGGCGATGAATAGCGTAGACCGGGCGTAGCAAGAGTAATACACGAGGCAGACATCTTGGGTTTCGTAACATAGATCCAAATCAGAATGGTGGGTGAGGGAACGACGGCGGCTGCAGGAAGAAGGACGATCCGTCAAAACAGGGAAACCGCTATAGCTGCTCGCGTGACTCACCTACAGCGAAATAAATGTACACAAAGAACCCGAAAAAAAAACCGCAACAAAATCATACAGCGATGGGGGTCCCGGGGCGGATGTGCGGGAGGCCCTCCTCGAGCGGGACGGGCTTCAGGTCCGGGTGGCTGAACGACTGCGTCCGGCGGACCGTGTCGGACCAGTCCTCCTCCTCGCCGTCGCGCGGCTCGCTCATCGAGCGCGCGTGCCCGCGCGACGTCGTAATGACCTCGGAGAGCACCGTCGTGTCCGGGTAGCTGCCGCCCCCGCGGCGCTCGCGCGTGGGCAGCAGCGCGGGGCGCGTGATCGCGAAGAGGACGACGTTGAGCACGCCAGAGGAGGCGAAGAGGACGTCGGCGACGATGGTCGCGGCGAAGGGGACGTCGTCGGAGTAGAAGGCGCGCCAGCGGACGACGGCGATGGGGAGGACCGTGATGGTGTACACGGCGGGGTAGCTGGAGTGGGATCTCATGAGTGTCGTGATGTATGACCTCTCGGAGAGGTGACTCACAAGAGCATCTCCATCGCCAGGCGTCCGGCATCCTTCATGCCGTTGCTGCTCGTCATATTCAAGTGGGAGCGCTCCTCCCTCCGCGGGACGCGCACCTTTAACCCGTCGATGATGATATAACCCTTAAGGACGAAAGCAAGCGGAACGTATAGAGCGATGTTCAACAGCGCTGCAAACCACATCCAGAAATATTCCAAGGCGATACGCTCCGCTGGGTATCTCGAGGTAATCCAGCACCCTGAACACGCTGGTCAGCCTCCCTGTATCATGGGAAGGATACAACGTACAGTATTGGGTATTCCCATAGTAATCCTCTCCCTTGTGCGTGCCGAGACCGAGCCCGATAATTAGGGCGATAAACGTCCAGATGGCGCCGAGGATCGCGAACGCGACCTTGGGCGAGGCATCTGGCCGCCAGCGGAAGACGAGAACAGCGAAGGTATGGAAGGCGATAGCCTGTGCAGCGGGTCAGATGCTTATGGCCAACATGCCCGGTCGTCATGCTTACCATTGATCTAATCGGGGCACGACATTTTAGCCTTTAGAGACGGTGCGCGTAGATATAAGGAAGACTTACGCTAAGGCGACGCCAACGTCCCCAATCTGTTTCAAGGCGCCCTGGGCGGTGCAGAAAGAGCCACCCTCGACGTTCTGGAAGGGAGCGTTGGGACGGGGGTGGCCTGGAGATGCATCTGGGGACTCACCGACTTTACAATCCATCGGATGTCCATGATACCTCCTGGACGGCTGTTAGACACTATGCATGTATTATTTGCATAGACCCACCGATGGCTTGTATGAGGTCGGAGACGAGGAGACTAAGGAAATAGAAATGTACATGTGTGCCGGTCCTCCACTTGCGCGAAGAGCCAGGAATGATCTTGACGGCGCCATACTGCAAGAAAGAGTTGTACTCCTGCACACGGAAATAAACAAAAGTGCACGCACTGCGATGTATGCCAAAAGGGCGCATACGGCGGCGGCAGAGAGGCAAGCGGTCTCGACGATGAAGACGAGGCCGAGCCGTTCACCAAAGGTGAACTCGCCTGGGTTGGCGGCGTAGGCTGCCATGTACCATCGACGCTGACGGTGGCGGGGGCGGGTGTGCGGACTGGAGCGTAAACATGGCCCGTATTAATATTAAATATTCTGGTCGAGTATGTATGACAGTCCAGATAAGGCTGCCCCTGGCTGCACATGAAGGCCCGATCGAATCTGGCAATCGACGGAACGCCTTCGTCGAACCAGCACTGCTTTCGGAATAGCGCCAGGCACAGCCGCCGCCCTCCCGCCTCTATTGACCCCGCAGCCGCCCGCGCCGGCGCCGTCTGGGTCCTCTCGACGGCCTCTGCCACAGTCTGACAGACGCCCGCCGCCCGCTGTCCACAATACATACTATCCGACATCGAACTCACTCGGGGCCGTTCGTCTTCTAGCTTGGGGCACTCGACTGCGCCGCAATTTTTTTTGCATTCCACACACCTACTCCTACGTCATGTCCATTCATTTCTGTATGTATAGTCCGGGAATGCCCCGTGCCCAGAGTGTCCGTTAGTTCATCGTGCCCGGGCCCTAAACAGTACCGTTTCTCAGATAGGCAGGAAACTGCCCGTCCAAGATCGCATCCGGGCTAGGCGTCGTATAGCTGGCGTAGCAGTCGAAATCGTAATCCACCTCCGTCAGCCGCTGCTTGTAAGCAGCGATAAACGTAGACAGCTCGCACAGGCCGTTCGCGTCCTCCGCGCAGCCCTGGATACCGGTCAGAGGGAGCACCGCGTCGTTCAGGATCCACCGGATGTGCGTCGGCGTGCTCGACGCGGGACAGGAGAGCACCTGCCCGACCAGGTTTGAGCCGAAAGGCGCAATCTGGCTCACAATATAGGACTGCAACGCTCGGTCAGAAAATGCACGCAGCAGCAACTACTGGTCTGTCGAGTTCCTCACCCTATCGTATGGAATGTGATCGGTCGGCAAGGGTCCAGTCCTTGTCATGCTCGTCATGTTCATCGTAGTCAAAACTACCGTGACAGTTAATCAACTATCTGCCTGGCCTACTCGTTAAGCGCGATAAACTCACTGGCGGAGATAACTGTGTCGTGACTAGCGTCCACATAGATGGGCTGATTGAGGGGGAATGTCGCATCGTTGGCGAGTGTAGTATTCACTTCTGCCAATGGACCCGTGATGGGCTCCTGAGTAAGACGCGACACCAGTTCTCCGACCCAGCCAAGGCCCATGGCCGCAGATGTCGGGTTACCGGGACCGTTGTTGTACCAGAAAGAGATGTCTGCGCTGGTCATAAGGAGCAATCGCATTTGATAGCATACAGAACCCATACCATTGGAATATTCGTACCCCTCCCACTCTTCCTGAGTGAAGAGACCGCAGAAATCGGAGAAACCCAAGGCAACAGTCTGTCCAAGAGTCAATCTGGCGCATCGCCGCCCGAGCGTGCCTAGAACCCACCTCATACGCGCAAAGCTGCTGCATCGAGTAAATGTCGGAAACAGTCAGATTCAGCCCCGGCAAAAACGGAGAGATCCGCTCGAGAGCAGGGGTTAGATAGATGGCAATCCAGTCATTCTCCAAAGAATCTCCGATACTCCCGATAGGCCCATTGTTGTTCGGGCAAGCGTTCGATGGCGCCAAGGTATTGTTGTACCCAGATGCTTCGATTATGATGGACTGGTAGTAGTCTTGAGTGAAAGTTTGTGCTCCGAAGAAACCAGCAGCAAAATTCAGCCTGCGCCACATTCTGTGAGTGGCTCATTTATGGGCGACTAAGTCAAGAACGTACGCAGAATTGAGCATGCGGTCTGGAAGACGCCAAATATATTGTGAGCACCGAGAAAGGACAGATATAAAGCCATATACCTTCAGATGTAGTCCTGAAGACGGGTAGCTGAGTGAATCCCTTCAAGAGCTTCCCGTATTTGACTCTGAAGCCTACACCCAAGTCATACCTTAAAGCAGTGATCAAATCTCGATTTCAAGAAACCCCATAGTTCACTCACATCTGTTCGCGGCCGAACGGAGTCAAAATCTCAGCACCCAGCTTGTACTCCCAGCTCGCCAGAAACGCCAAAGCGCCCGACGCATTGAACCCCGTGCCATTGACTACACTCGCATGCAGCTTCGCTGCAAAATTCGCCGGGCCGGACCCAGAGGTCGGGTACCGCGCGCCGTGGCGGTGGAGGAGGTGCACCTGGGTGATGCTGCAGTTCGTGGGGACCTGCGGGGACGCGTAGGGCAGGCCCTGCGCGGCGGACGGCACGGAGTACCACGGCGAGAGGTTGCCCCAGTAGCGGATCACGTCGAACCCGGGCGTCTCTGGCCCGGAGGGGAGGGGGTCCGAGAGCGGGTACACGCTTTCCATGTAGGAGGGAGGGGCGGTCTCGATGGCTGCGGCCTCGTCTCCGGCTAAGATACATGGTTGTCAGATTAAAGCTACCTACGAATATCAGGCGAAGAGACTGCATACTGGGGGTCGGACCGGGATAGCCTACCTCGCTAGCGCCTGGAAAGTACGAAGCGAGGGCGCTGCCACTGGCACCTGGTGGAGGGAACACTGCAGAACTCGTGGCTCCAGCATAGTTCGACGCTGGAGGGTCGACGGGCTTCACCAGGGCTGCACTCGCAACAGCGAAAAGCAGAGGAAGGGCTGCGAGCAACATCGTGTCGAGCAACCCGGCCACGACTCTCGAAGACCTTTCCTGGCTTTCAAGATGTCAAGTCATTTCAATGCCAGTTAGAGGACTTCTTTTATACTGGGATAGGACATGAAGTTCAGGGTCCACGGACCGCACTATGTGTTGCCGATACTCGACCGAACCCACTGAAATAGAACGAAGAACCCCCGCCATGAAGCACGAGAACATGGTTAAGGGCGCCGACCCTATCAGGGTGTCGAACGTGCGCCCCTCGCAGCGCACGCCGCACGGGAGGTACGATCAAAGGGCGCAAGAGTCGGCGTCTCTGAGAACCGTCGCAGCACCGACTGGGAGAGCACGCTCAGCAAATGCATATCTCGAACACCGGGTTCAGTTCCACATAGCACAACGTCAAAGGTAGGGGTACAGATAGCGTCAAGGTCAATTGAACATGATTGAGATTGCAGTCGATGGGCCAACAGGCATGCAACGCCGCGATGGGGAAGGGGCTTCGGATTCGCATGTATTGACAGCAGTGTGAAACTCTAGAATCAGATATAGCCCCGCGATATACACTTCAGTCACAGCGTCGAGCAGCATTATACCAACGACAGGACTGAACGAGTCTCGAGCTCGAAGCCGCTCTCAAATCCAGCTTCGAAGATGGTGAGGGCAAAGGTCAAGCCATATATAACCGGCACCAGCCACAACCAAATTGTGGCGTACGAGCGCCCCCCGAGCTTCAGGCTACATACCTCACAGGCTAAGATGTAAATTCCGGCAGTATCGGAGTGGTATGCATCACTGCTACAACATAGCGAACGTGCGTAGTGCTTTAGTGACAGCCGACGCACGCAAGAGGGAATTGTTATTCGTGGTGCTTTTCCGAGTCCTACCGATACACCCTAGCGTACCACCGTCGTACAAAATATCATTTTTATGCCGTTCCATTCCTCAGAGCCGGAGGATATCTCCCATCTATAATGGTATCCGGCGTCGGGACGGTGTAATTGGCGAAACAATCGAAGTCGTAGTCGATCTCTGCCATCCGCTCCTGCATGCCTGCAATGAACGCTGATAGTTCACAAAGGCCATTTGGATCTTCCTGGCAGCCTTTAAGGCCGGTCAGGGGCATGACAGCGTCGTTCAGGATCCATCGGATGTGCGTGGACACATTCGAGGCGGGACACGACAGAACCTGCCCGACTAGATTGGACGCGAAGGGGGATACTTGGGTCGTGATCCAAGACTATAGATAATCACGCTCAGCAATATTCTTGGAGCCCCAAAGGCGACGCTTACCCTATTAGCTGGAATATGGTCCACGGGCAGAGGTCCGCCAGCAGCTAAACTCGTGAAGTTCATAGTCGCCACAACTACAGACAAATGAACACGTCAGACTCGCAGCAGAAGAAAAAAAAGTGATACTTGCTTGCGGAGATAATCGTGTCATGAGTTGCGTCAACATATATTGGCTGGTTCAACGGGAATGTGACGTTGTTCGTCAATGTGGTGTTCACCTCCGCAAACGGACCGTCAATGGGCGTTTGCGTCAGGCGAGCCATCATTTCGCCAACCCAGCCTAGCCCAATGGCGGCTGAGGTCGGGTTCCCTGGACCAGTACTATACCAGAACGAGAGGTCTACACGCAACATTCAGAAAAATGGTTTGATGCAAACAATTCGTAACATACCATTCGCATAATTGAACCCTTCCCATTCCTCTTGGGTAAATACACTGCAGAAATCAGAGAACCCAAGAGCAACCGTCTAGAATTTGAAGAAGGTCAGCTCCGTCCAAGAGGCTTTGGACTGTGCGAACCTCATAGGCGCATGCTTGTTGCATATGATACAAATCCGTGATTGTCAAGTTGAAGCCTTGAATCAGGGGCGCTACTCGTTTCAGAGTTGGCGTCAGGTACTGTTCGATCCATTGTTCCTGCAAGCTATCGCCGTAGTAACCTATATTTTCGGCATTGTTATTCGGGCATGCATTCCAGGGGGCTAGTGTATTATTATAGCCGTCTTCTTCAATGATGATCAGTTGGTGATAGTCGGTCTGATAGGTCTGAACACCAAAGAAGCCTGCCGCGAAGTTGAGGCTGAATAGACTTGTTAGGGACTGACTTGAAGCATAGGTAATCAAGGACATACGCAGATTCAACCATACGTTCTGACGACGCACCAAGCATGACACCATCAGTTATTGAATTTGATTTTTTCAGATCTTCTCACCTTCTGAAGTTGTACGAAACACGGGCAGCTCGGTGAAGCCTTTCAGTAGATCGCCATACTTGACGCGAAATCCGACGCCAAGGTCAAATCTGAGTGGATATAGGTATGCGAGAGAGAAACAACAAATATTCGGAGAACTTACAGCTCCTCTCTTCCAAAGGGAGTCAAAAGTTCGGCGCCCAGTTTGTAAGTCCATGTGTTTAAGAACTTCAGAGGACCTGATGCACTGAAGCCAGTAGTAGTAGAGGTATTATGGAGCTTGGCAGCAAAACTCGCTGGACCTGCGCCGGATGTGGGATATCTTGCGCCGTGACGGTGCAGGAGATGGACCTGATTGATGCTGCAGCCGTCTGGATCTTCAGGGGAAGCATCTGGCAAACCGTGTGTAGAGGACGGGACAGAGTACCAAGGTGACAAATTGCCCCAGTAACGGATAACGTCAAACCCGGACGATTCAGAGCCGGATGCCTTTGGGTCGGTCAGAGGATAAATGCTCTCCATGTCGGACGGGGGGGCCGTCTGGATGGCTTCCGCTTCATCTCCAGCTGAGTGCACGTGCATGTGTGAGACCCAGTGGGTGTGCAGCATAGGCTATAGAACATACTTGGGGTTGGTCCCGGGTAGCCTACTTGGCTTGCGTCCGGGAAGTACGAACTCAGGCCGGTGTTCGTTGCCTCTGGAGGGGGCCATACAGCTGATGTGGTCGAACCAGCCCAGTCAGACGCCGAGTGAGCAGCGCGGGGCACCGCAGATGTGAGCACTGACGGCGCGACACCGAGGAGGAGGAGGAGGAGCCCAGAGAGCATGTTACTACCGTTATGCACCTTGACTGCTAGTCTTCAGCAGCGCTGGCCGAGTACGTAGGTCTGGGGGTCCTGCCATTTATCGGAGGCCCTGCGGGATTTATACCGTCACTGTCGAACCCTTGGATGTATTATTGGCCCATCAATGAGGGCATGTGCGCTGTACGGGCGTCACGTACCATAAGTTCGGTATAACCGTTCCCCGTTCCCATCAGTGAGAGACACATCGCGGTTATTAGAGAACGCGACGAGTATAGAAATTGTCGCATAACGTATCGTTGAGCAAGTTTGATTGTGCCGGTCGGCTTGGGCAGCTTGACAGCCTCGTACGACGCCTCTCTGATCTCCAGACTAGCACTCAACCCCGCAGACGCACGAACGTTCGAATTCTTGTTTCACTCATTCGGGCATGTCGATGGGGAACGGCAATCCCTGACTTACGGCTATCGAATGGCGCTTGGCTTTCCTCATGTCCTTCCCCGCGTTCCCCGGGTGCGCCCCGGATGGTCGGCGACGCGCTTTTACCATGATTATGTCCGATTCGCGACGCCAAACGGTACTGGGCGCATCCCTTTGTCGTCTCCAAAGGTAATTGGAGTCGCCAGCTCCAGAGGTCCCAGAAGGTACGTAAGGTCGTGCTACCTATGTGGTACAGGAAGTAACAAACCAGACAGTTTCCAAGAAGATCACTACGCTTTTGCGTCTTTAGCATTGAATCCAGAAGAGCTACGACTCCACGTGAAGAAGAATCTCGGGATAGATTGGGATCCTAAACGGGTGGGGGATGCTTTCTGCCAGCAAGTCGTATTTGTGGGCATTTATGACGGGTGAGCTCAGTCAGCAATCATAACAGGCCAGCGACTAACTCAGTGTCGGTATCAGCCACGGGGGGACTGCTGTTTCGCAGTACTTGCGGCAAGAGCTGCACGGTTTCTTCGAGTCTGTGAAGAAGTCCGATATACCAGAGATGTACCAGTGGATCAAGGAAATAGGAGGATATTTCAAACGGTTCACCGGGGGTGCACTCGCGCCCTGGATACATGGCCCCGAAGGCACGGAGGAGATGGACTTAGAAGCCCGCGCGACCCTCGCATTCTTTGAGGTACGTTATCATTTCCTTTACCAAGACACGTTCTTTGTCTCACCTGAGCAGGTCGACCGCCATCTGTCCATGGACATCGAAGCAAAGAAAGCCGGCGCGACTGCATCTGTGGCCATCTTACATTCTTTGGACGTCCCAGCGACTCCATTCTTCTTGTCAGACAAGCTGGCTTTGACTGTCGCGCACTGTGGGTGAGTTGGAGGTGGGTATCTAGATAGGAGCTCTAAGTGTATTTCCTGCGCGTTAGCGATACCCGTGTCTTGCTCTGTTCTACAGACGGAGGCAAGCCACTCGCGATGACTGATATCCATCACGCGGATACTCGTACAGAGGCTATGCGCCTGCGGCGGATGATGGGCCAAGCCTTGATTACAGACTCTTTCGGAGAGCAGAGGTATTGTTACTGTTTCCAAGCATAAGATGGACATGGTTGTAATAACTTGTGCTATAGGTGGATGGGCGCTCTTGCCAACACCCGAGGGTCTGTTCAATTAATGCTTACTGTGTCCATGTCCTGATGAAGTGAACAGACTTGGTGACCTCAAGTTCAAGCGTTTCGGCGTCACACCTGAGCCTGAAGTTAGGACGAAACTTTTGAAAGGTAATGCATCTACGGTGATCTCTCATTGTACGAGTCCTTATATTTCACGCAGGCCCTGAATGGGCTTACATGATCCTCGTTTCCGACGGCATCTCCTCAGTCGCCTCTGATGACGAGATTGTTGATCTAGCCAGGGATGCGCCAACACCTAAGAAAGCTGCGGAGAAGATACTTTCTTACGCCGAAGAGCTGGGCAGCGATGATAATGCTACTGCAATCGTCGTGCCCCTAGCGGGATGGGGGAAGATCCAAGGACCAGACAGAACGAAGGATCTGCGAGAGTATAGGCGTGAGCAAGCTGGTGAGCATCCACTCTGACGGTCGAATCGCGTCAATCAGCTCAATGGGTTAACTCATGCAGTGGGCACTGAGAGACATCAAAGAATGTGATCAACACGTCATCTACCATATACTCAGCTTTTAATGCATATGCCCTATGCTATATCTTGTAGCCGTATGTCTTACATTCTAGCATATCATAACGTAGTGATGTCATTCCTGCATGGACAATGACGATATCCGTTGTACATATGCACAATACCCATTCCTGTCTATATACCTCTGAGAGACGCGTACTTCAAAATCAGTCTTTTAAATTTGGGCAGCGGCATGCCCGTCAGCCCTGGGGTCTGAACCCGCTGCCCATACAGTCTGACCAGATTGGTCTACAATCCTCTGTATGACTTGTCCGCGTCCCATCAACATCCTGGCGAAGCCAGACACGGTACGAGCGTCGTGGCCCATTTCTGTAGCGCTATCAGCACTTCCCTGCTTAACATGGTAACATAAAACACACCTCTGAGTTTCGCTACAGTTGACTCTGGGATGCCTTCTTCGAAGTACACCTCACTGTTGATGTCTCCAGCATTCAACGGATTTCGAGTCTCTGAGTCTGGACTTCCGGCCGATATACAGAAGCGCGGCGCGTCCAAGGCAGCCTGCGGCGTGAACCCGCGAAGGATGTTCAAGAGGACTTGAACATGACCTTGAGGCTATACAAGGCAAGCCGTTTGTCATCTGTCTGAGATTTGACACGTAGCACCGACCTGCATGAAGCCTCCCATCACGCCGTATGACAGGAATAGTTCGTCCCCTCTTGTGGCCAGAGCGGGGATGATGGTATGGTACGGTCGCTTCCCGCCCTAAGGAATAGCATAGTATTGAGGACCTTAGATGCATGAGATGCTCCATCCTCACTCACAGCAAGCGCGTTGGGATGTCCTTCCTGCAGTACGAATCCTGAGCCCCGATTCTGTAAGGTGAAACCGCAACCTTTCGGGACGGCTGTGAAAAGTTTCAGCTGAGCCTGATCCAGCCATACCGTCAAGGAGTTTACCTCCAGTACCAAAGCCTGTGAAAGATAGCGTTAGTCCACAGGAAAGTACAGATTGGTGAAGTCAGCGCACCGGCATAGTTACTCTGAATGTAACTGCAGGCATTTCCCCACTGATCCGTCACTGGGCACTGTTAATAAAATTCCACCGAAGCTCGAGCATTGATCACCTGAAAAGTACACCGTATCGGAGGAGTTGACGGGGTTACCCTGAGCAAGATAAGAGCGCAACTCGGCTTAGCAGAACCTGATGCTTACGTGCACAACTTTGGGGTTAGTCTTCGAAGGATCAAATAGCTTTGCCCTGGAAGCCAGGTACTCCTGAATTCAAGACAGCGTAAGTCGCGATACAAGCAAATCAAGCGTGATTATTACTTTACTGAGCAACTCCGCAACAGGGACATGTTTGACCTCTGGGTCTGTCACGTAATACTGGCTGTCTGAAGAGGGGAATAGCTCGGTCAGCTATAGATCTCACGGTTACGGTAAAGCCCACCCGCGAATGCCAGCCTGCAAAGCAATGGCTGTCAGTCAAACCGTAGCATAGGAGAACAAGGTACTCTTCGCACCGCAACGCCTCGACTAGTGTGTGTAAGTATTCGGGCGAATTGTGTTCCATCTCTAGTAAAGGCTTGATTATGCCTAGCTCCTGCATATTATCAAGGATGCCTAGCGCTATAAGGGCGGCGATGCCTTGTCCGTTTGGTGGACACTGTTCAGCTATGATCAACAGTGGTTCCATACCAGACAAACAAGGACTGACCTCGTAGACGGTGACGTCCCCGCCGAAAGTATACTTGATGGGCTCGACAAAAGTCGTTTCGTGTTTAGCTAGATCTTCAAGCTCCATAACACCTCCTTGACTCTGTATCAATTCTACAATCGCCTCAGCAATGCGGCCCTTATAGAATCCTTCCTTTCCATGTTCCGCTACGGCCCGGAAAGTCTTCGCCAAATTGGGTAGCTTGACAATCTGTCCTGGAAGGGGCGCTTTGCCATTCAAGAGCATCTCACCGCCATTGGGTGATGCATTCTTTATTAAGTTTTCGGAACGTTGCCACTGGACGCAGAGTCAATGAGATGTCTATCGGAGGTTTAACCAAAGTAACCGGGGACTCACAGAGTGACTGTGGATCTCCGACACAGGAACTCTACATCATCATTGAGTTGGGCTACCAGAGCAATAAGCATACGAGCGCACCCTTCTTCTGCTAGTCTAATTGCGGGTGCAAGGACGTCAGCGACTGTCACCTGGCCGCTGCCGAAACTTTCTACTGTGTCAACCCAAGCGGCGGCGGCTCCTATACCCGGTTCTGAGCATGATAAGTACATACTGGCAAGCAAGTGGCAAACCTGGCACGGTCACTGAATTGAGGTCAGTTAGAGGTATTTTGCCACCAGTTACCCCGCGCTTCTTCATATATTCCAGGGTTAATTTCTGCGGAGAACGACCCGAACCATTCAGCGCTTTCACTTCCTTCGTCTTGGCGTCATAGAAGAGACAGAAGGCATCTCTAGAGCATCATCATTAGCGTCACGAAACGAAACCCATGGGGATCTGCTTACCCTCCAATACCACAGCAACTAGGTTCAGTGACATTCAGCGCCGCGGACGTGGCCACTGCCGCATCGGCTATACTGCGAATTCAGTGACTTGATTTACCGAACGTCAGACTGAGTATCGTACCTGCATTGCCGCCTTTCCTCAAGATCTCTAACCCCGCTTCCGTAGCCAATGGTTGTGACGATGAGACAATCCCCTTCGTTCCATACACCACAGATCTGCGGCTTGCAAATCGCTGCAGAACCAGTTCGGGTTGGTCTACCTTACTCCAGTCGATCTTTGACGAAGCCATATCGACTGTGTCTGGGGGTGCTCAGTCATATTGGACGTGATAGTATATATAGTCCCACTGGTGGAAGATCAATCCCACCGGGTCCCCGGCTCGCACAGGAACAAGAGTTGGCCATGGCGGAATGTGCGGGTGCAGTGCCAATAAACGGCCAGCTATCACGAGTCCACGCCGACGGGAGTGAGACGGAGCACCCCAGCATGGATGATTAGATCGGTGCGCCGGAAGGACAACCTCCGGCCCTCCGCCACCTACATATCTATCAGCCCAACAGCGATAAAGAGCAGGCATGCAAATCCAAAGCATATCCGTTTCTACCATTACGGATGTCATGTACATTAGTGGATGACTTCCCGTAAGCCAAAATTCTAGATTTCGCAGTTCTAAACGCCATCAGCGTACCTGGTCACACTCGCTGCCAGGGTGCAATGGCAAAATAGAACCGTTCGTCCCATCCGTAATGCCAGACCAACGCTCGACGACTGCAAGTCACGACCATGAGGTCGCTTTCCATTTATGGCGAGCGGATCGCTCAATTTAGCAGGTGCTGATGGCAGGTTTGATACGCGGACCTCAACCGAGGCTAAGCGAGCGTTTAGAGTCGTCTGGAGATTTGGAAAGGGGGGTCGACCCCCCCTGCTAGATTTAAAGTTTAGAGACGGTTTTTGCTCGGCGAGCCTCATCAAAACTTGGTCTAAGCGAGAGCGTGACAAGACGGCATCTCGGCTTGATGCGTTTAGAGATTTAGAACTGCTCAAAACGCGTGCTAAATGCTTACGGGAAGTCATCCAGTGTAGAAGTAGAGCATTGCACAAATGCAAAAAGATATGTAGATAAATCAGTACTAATGCTACAGTGTCGTTAATCCTCCGTCTAGTCCCGAAAAGAGATATTCAATACGAAGGCCGTGCGGCTATGGCTCGTTGTGTGACGTTACGCAAGGTCCGGCGTAGAGCCGTCGCTCCATGGTAAGGGGATGAATAGTTGTCACGACATGTCTATGCCGGGGAAGTCTCCTTTTTGACGGGCTTGGTTGGAGAATAGCGAGATTTCTGTCGCAACCTGGGACCGAACCTACAGCAAGACTATGCATCAGCACTACCCTTTACTTTATGAGGGATCATGGACTTACTTGACGAGGACGAATGGTATAGGCATCATCAGGGCCGCGATACATCCGAGCAATGTCGACGCCCATCGTGGATTCAGCGTATCATACATTTGAGTGGCAAATAGCTGGGGGGGGGAGTTCGTCAGAAGCAGGCTGTTTATGCATTGCACGGTCACTTACAGGGAAACCTGCACCGAACAAACTACGGACTACCGTATTCGACGCCAAAGCAGACGCGGCAACGAACAGATAGGCGTCGATGATATAGTTGAAAAGCGACAACTGCGCATACAATATTTTTAGTGTACACAATAACGGCATGCAAGGGATCAACTTACAAATATGAATTGGACTGACAGGCCCATCGCCAGTCCCGACATCATGGGGGCCCAATAACTGATGGACGGGTAGGAGGTCCAGCCAAACCAGAAGAATGACAGGGCGAAGATAGGTCCAGCGGGCAAGGACATCTCCAACCTCTTTTCCGGCGGAACGGGATTAGGAGCATACTGCTCGACGGCGCGTTCATAGCGAGGGTTGAAGTAGAGGAGATACTAATTAGGAAGCTGTCAGAATGTGTGTTCCTCGACATAGCGGTTTATACGTACAGCCGCGATAGCCAATGCCCCTCCAATGGGGATGGGGAGGAAGACAAGCCCTGAGGCTCCGTAGTTCAGGCCATGACCTTCCGTGAAGACAATGGGATAAGCTTCGAAGAGCAGATAGATGCAACCGTAGACGAACTGCAAACAAAATCAGTATACGCAAGCAGAAGCACTAGGAACTGATACTGACGCTCATGTACAATGTAATGGCGATCAACATGGGCTCCCGGAAGAGAATGCGGAACGGACGAGCAAGGATGTGCTCCAACCGCTTAGTAAACGAGAGCTTATTTCTCTCAAAGGGAGCATAGTACCGTTCATCGCCTGTTTCCTTTCGTCGCTGTACAGCCTTCTTAACGAGCAAGATAGGCCTATGCAAGTAAACCGTTCAATATACGATACATGAAAAGCTGGTGAGGCACTTACTCGTAAGTCTCCGGGATGGTAAACACGATCTGCAGGAAGCAAACACCAGCCTGACAAAGTTATCAGCACACATCAGATGGATCTCAGTACGGAGCAGAAACATACGTATATCGTTAGGACCCAAAAGACCCATCTCCACGATGCACCAGCCACGGTAATGTACCCACCAACAGTGGGACCAATGGCAGGGCCGGCAAAAGGTGCGATCGTGAAGAGAGACATAGCCTTTCCTCGAGATTTCGCATCCCAGATGTCCGACAGGATAGCACTAGTGTTTTCTGTCAGCCTAGATATGTGGGGGCAAGGGATCCTTTTGGACGTACCCGCTATTTGTCATAGGTGCTGCGGCAAAGATACCACCTAACAAACGGAAAACAAGAATGGACCCCGTGTTGGGCGACAGTGCGCACCCCACTTGGAAACACTGCCAGGCAGTTAACGTACCGCAGATATTGACAGGAGTATATACACTTACAGTGTAGAATCCGAACCCTATTAAAAACACTATTCGCCGACCATACTGCTCAGATAGGGGACCCCAAAATAATGGACCGACACAATAACCGGCTACGAATAGAGAGATGGCGAGAGTCGCGACTTCTTGACTCATGTGGAATTCTTCTATTAGCTGCACCACAACCCCTGACGGGGCTGAACTCGCAAATGTCCTAGAGAAGAGTCAGTGGTGCTAACCAGGGCGCATAGGATCGACGTACGCATTCAAGAGCAGCAGTCCTCCAGTTACTGTAATGTACCACTTTCGCCATACAGCCATATTCTAAGTACAGTACAGGTCAGACCCAGACTCATATGCCAGAACGACATCATCACGTACTTTCGGATTTTGTGGGTCACCCTCCTCAAACCTCACTTCGAACGGATCAAATCCGCCTTTCTCGTTAGGCTCCGGATAGGCTTCATGATGGAGTTCGGCGTTCTCATCACCGGAAACGATAGTGGATGTGCGACTGACGCTGGCCGACATGGGGAACCAACAACGTCCAGCAAGAAAACGGGGAATAAAGTGCGCATGGCGATAGCAGTATTATAAAGGCGGATAGAGCGTCCGAGAGACCGTAAAAGCTGATGACATATTAGACTGGAGCGCACCAATCGGCCAGACTCGCACGCAAACGCTCCGCCACCAGCGCCAACCGGAACCGTCCAGAACAGTTGCCGCCGGCTTTTCCTTTGTGCCTGTCCCCTCTTGATTATGGACTTCACAGAGATCTACAAACAAACATCCTCGCTTGTCGCGTTCAGTCCTGGCGCTCAGTTTATTCTGACTGCTGTGCAAGACCGTCTAGTCGTGCGCCGCTCTGACACTCTGACTATCACGCGAACCTGGCCGGTCGACGCGTCTCCCTCGGCGACCGAAACTGCGCTGTCCAACTCCAAACCGAAGTCAAACGCCCCGGGATCTAGCTCTTCGCTGAGCAATGCATGGATTACTCATATCGGCTGGGCTTGTGACTCGGAGTACATACTAGCTGCGTGTGCAAAGAGGGGTGTTGTAAACGTTTTCAAGATCAGGGACGAAGATTGGTCTGCCCGCATTGAATCCGGCGCAGAAGGGCTCGTGAAAGCGGAATGGGCTCCGGACGGACGGACGGTCCTGTGTTTCTCTGCATGGGGGGTGCGTATTTGTCATTCCATTCTCGTCATATCGTCCGCTTTGATCTCATCATGTGGCCTCAGTTAAGAGTGACAATCTGGTCCTTAGTAAGTGGCACAGCCACATATATCCAGTTCCCTGTGCACGCGGATCGGGGTATTGTATCGTTGCTCAAGCACTGCGTGCGTCACCTCACGTATCTCTCACAGGTTACGCGTTCCGTGCCGATGGTCGATATTTCATCTTAGCGGAACGACATAAGTCCAGGGAGACTTTGGGCCTTTACGACACCGAAGACTCTTATAAGTTAGTTAGGGTAAGAGTGGTCGATCCGTCGAGCCCGGACTGCCGAATTTAGGGAACGCTATAGCATTATCCTCTTCCCACAGCTTCGCTGTCTTCATTGTCAGTTTCTCCGACCGGTAACCATGTAGCAGTGTGGGAGGGCCCTCTGGAAGTACGTGCTCTATGTCCGTTGGGACGTGACTGGGTCGATGACTTCTTCATACCGATAAAGTATAAGCTATACATTTTGACATTAGCAGGCGAGATTCTAGCCTCATTCTCTCCGGATCCGGATCCCGGTCTTGGCATACGCTCAGTAGCATGGCATCCTGGCGGAGCCTTTTTAGCAGTCGGTGGCTGGGATGACAAAGTGAGCACCCGTCTCATTCGAACGACACACTGAAACCTACATGACTAGATTTACATGTTAGATAGTTTAAGCTGGTCACCAGTAGCCGTACTGGAACTTCCGAGGCGCATACCCGCTGGCATTGTGAGTATCCCAGTCTCCTTCCGCCGGCACTTGACAAACTTTCTACAGGCGACATGGCGAGAACCGACGGGATGGTTCGAAGCTACGCAGGGTCGAGGTTTCTTATCGTGTGCGCACCTGCCTAGTCCTCGGTCTATTCTCCGCTCTCATATGCCGTCCAGTTGAACGACTGCAGGGATCGCAAACCATACCGGTGACTCGTCCCGACCTGACTAAAGCACATCCGAAGAATGGTGTTATACAGTTACAATGGAACAAATCAGGAACCTGCCTCATGGCTCGGTTCGGTAAGCTTACCACTTATGAGTCTTCACTGATCTTCACCTGTCGTTTGCTAGAAAATGCGCCGAGCATAGTCAACATCTACTCATTTCCTACTCAGTCCGAGAGCTTCGTGCCAAAGCTGCGTAGCGTTCTCATCCTATCAAACCCAGTATTGCAAGCGCACTGGAATCCAGTGAGAGCAGGAAGTTTGGCTGCCTGCTGCGGCAATCGAGCACTCTACACGTGGAGCGACGAGTGGGTGGGAGAGAGCGGGGAGGAAGAGGAGATGGCTGAATGTATAGGAGTGCCTGCAAGTGAGTCATCCAAGAGGTCCGGTTCTCTCGCCCGGCCCCCTGTTTGTTTGACTGGTTGCAAGACAATACTGACCAATGCACTAGAGAAATTGGATGTAAGGGAGGTTAAATGGGCGCCTGATGGCAAGGGACTCCTTTTGCTTGACAAGGATACGTTCTGCTGCGCCTTTGAGGTGGAAGCAGACGATGAGAATGGAGGCACCTAGGCTGTTGCTGCATCTTACTTCTTGATTATTCTGTCCCCTGCGTACAATAGTTTACAATAGTGTGCTCATATTTCAACAGTACTGCTTCAGTACTCATCGTTCCGTGATCCCGTCCGGCATTCTACCGGCGTCTTGTAATGTGGCCGGGCCCAAGCTTCCTTTGGCGTGACGCGTCACGGATTCAACATGTCTTTGCCACAATCGCGCTCAGGACAGCGGCCTTGCCATTGAACCATACACTATGTCTGCGACGCCAGGCCCTGCTCCGCCCTCTCCCGATCCAACTCCTAGCACCTCGCAAGAATCCGTTCAGCCTACCATCGAGGCTGTAGACCGACTGGTCTTCGATTATCTTCGGAATAGAGGATTTAGGGTTCCTGAACAAGCTGTCCCTGATGGAGTTGAAGGAGCCTCGCCCGACGACAAGGGCAAAGCGCCGGAACTGCCACCTCCCCAGACAATCTCTTCGGAGGAACTCATCAGGAGACTGGCTGTCTTCTCCCAAAAGCCGACGCAACCAGGCGAGAATGCTCTCAAGGACTCGGCGAATGTTCTGCAGGAATTGTCCTCTGCAGGAGGCTCTATCAATATACAGAACTTGATCGCGAGTATTGGATCTATAGGCGCCGAGGAAATACTCTCTTCAGACCCCACGGATAAAACGGAAGGATTCAGGGATTTGGAGGCTTGGGTAGATGGGTCATTGGACATGTATCGTGTCAGTAGCCTCACCGTGGTGACTTAGGTCTTGTCTCAATATCATATACCTTCCAGCCTGAGTTCAGACCCATTCTGTTCCCTGTCTTCGTCCACTTTTATCTTGATCTCATCCAGTCCGGATTTAAGGAAGCTGGTACGTGAACCCGTGAAGAGTGTGCATGCTGTATGCCCTGAGCATGTCCATGCAGCGGTTCGTTTCTTCTCTGAATTTTCGCCGTCTCTGGCGGCGGCCCATAACAGCACCTTACACCACTTGTCCACACTTCTGCTGCCCGCCCACGTTCAAAACGACGAATTGGCACAGCGCTTTCGAAATGAGAAGTATGTTATCCGGATGAGCAGATCCGGGTTCAGCCTCCTAATAGGATGGCTCACGGAGGGTATAGGTGGAGAGGATATGGGCAGTGGGGAGGGATTTTCGGGAGAGAAAGGCAAAAGAGGTCGCTCCGCGGTCATGCGAGTCGTCAACAATCACCTCAAATTCGACGGTAATGCCCTGTTTATCTTCGTTCTTAATCAGTCTATTCATGGCGAACACAGTTACTACTTCGAGCACGACCACTGTGTCTCCGACTGCATGGGAGGAGAACACCGGGCTCCTTTCATCATTGATACCCCGTACGAATGGCACCGGGCCTACCCACACGAACGCCCAAGCATTTAATTCAGCTCAAGGACAGCTGAAACTGGGTCCCGCACCTATGTCCGAAGAGTTGAGGAATGAGACCGAACGTGTACTACAGGAAAAAGCTCTGGTAGAGCACGATCCTAGCGCACAATATGACATCCATTACACTCGTCCACAACCACCGCCGGGCGTCGTGGCACCCTCCCTTTCTGACCTCCCCCCTCACCCGCCAACGTTCAAGTCTATCGACGTTCAGCGGGAGGTAGAGAGAGTCCGAGACGCGAAGAAACGCATACGACTGGAGCCTTCTGCACTCAATAACATCGACCCCAACTCGCCTCAAGCCGCAAATGTAATGGCAAGGGCTTTACCCAGCATATGCTGTTATACCATACACGATGCTCCTGAGGGGTCAGTTCAAGCCTTTTTCAATTGGTTTCGCTCGACGACTGACATGTACCAGAGTGCCATCTTGCACCTTTTCACCTGATAGCACCCTCATGGCCGCAGGATTCGCCGAAAGTTATATCCGACTGTGGAATTTGAGGGGCGAGAAGCTGAAGGGGATGCGAAGTGATTTCGTGTCAAGTACAGTGAATGGTAAGCCGTTGTCCTATCTCAGAAGGCATAGCTAAGGAGATCCACAGCTAACAACCTGAGAAAGTTGAAAGAGAGAGGAGGGAGTGCAACGCGAAAACTCATAGGCCATAGCGGGCCTGTCTACTCGCTATCTTTCGACCCCTTGAGCGGCTCTGCTGCTCCACCGAAATACCTGCTATCATCGTCCGCTGATGCCACAGTGCGACTATGGTCCATGGACACCCTGACCAATGTGGTGGCGTATAGAGGACATCAAAACCCAGTGTGGGACGTACAATGGAGTCCTATGGGAATCTATTTTGCTACTGCAAGTCGTGATCGAACCGCGAGACTTTGGTCAACAGACAGGGCGAGCGCGTTGCGCATATACGCAGGACATCTCAGTGACGTCGATGTATGTCGGCTCCCTGGATTCGCTTCGTGCTTCACTGAAGGCATGTTCCTCTAGGCCGTCAGATTCCACCCGAATTCGTTGTATTTAGCAACCGCCTCTAGTGACTGGACTGCGCGGTTATGGGACGTACAGCGAGGTAATTGTGTCCGGGTGTTCATTGGCCATCAAGGGATTGTGTCCACCCTTGCCTTCAGTCCTGACGGTCGGTACCTGGCCAGTGCAGGTAAGCACCAGAAGTTCTATCTTACTGCCACTTTGACACGCATCCTTCAGGGGAGGACAATGCCATCAACCTCTGGGATCTGGGCTCCGGCCGACGTGTCAAGAAAATGACCGGCCACACCGCATCCATATACTCTCTTGCCTTCAGCACAGAGTCGTCCCTCCTTGTCAGCGGAGGGGCTGACTGGACCGTCCGGTGCTGGGATGTCAAGGGTGCTGGAGGCTTGCCCGGAAAACGCGAGAATGGTATGGTGAACGGTACGGCCACACCGAAAAGCCGTGAAGAAGAAGGTATTGAGACGTAAGTGACGGTTTCTTCAAGTGCGAATCGATCCTGAGGAAGCTTCGTTATAGGACGGACCTCGTGTCTACCTTCCCCACCAAACGGACTCCCATTATCAACGTCCAGTTTACGCCTCGTAATCTGTGCTTGGCGGCTGGACCCTATCTTCCTCCAGATCCGCGGTGACATTGTACTCTTATGCTATGCATGTATCTATCTTGCTGTATCCATATGTGGGGAGGTGTATATTTCAACATATAGAACGGGGGGCGAGCGCGCAGTGACCCCGCGTACTATTTAACCGCGATTCATCCAGTTACGGTGGCTGCGAGGGTCACGTGCACCGTGCTTCATTCGCCACAGCGACTCCGACCGTGACTGCTCTGGACATCGTCCTTTCTTCTCATTGCAACATCGCGTCGATACGTGTTACAGACATACCAGCCGCATACGAGACCACGTATAGGATAGCATACATCCTCAGTGTCGTCCCCCTGTCGACCGCCTGAAGCCCGCCATGGGTGATCGAATGGATGTTGAAGCCACCAATGTCTCTCACCGTCAAAATCAGGAGGACTTCCAGAACATACCCGCTGCGGTGTTGAATACTCAAGGTCCGTAGCAGGGTGTTCTCATATGTCTGGGTTCGAATTGACCAGAATGCATGTCGATGATGCCGTGTTGGCGCTTATGAATCGCGTCTGTCACATTACAGCTGCTCAGCAGCCAGGATTCCGCGACATTCCAGTGAAAGTGCACATTAGACGTCCTGACAAGGATACATGGTCGTACCTTGGCCGCGGGGTAGCGTCTCATGAAGTGTCAGGGCAAGCATCCCGAGTCGGTACGTCGGCGTCTCGTTAGTTCGCACAAGTCTCCAGTTGTGATCGAGGACCCACACAGTTATTCGTTCCGCATCTACAAACAAAGTATGGACAACATTTGGCGAGGTAGACCTTCTGCACGCTCGTCCTCTCAGTAGAATCTCACGCGTCCGTTAGGGCTCTGAAGTTCAAGCCGAGAAACGAGGCAACTTCGTCGTAATAGGCTGTGTGGATGGCAATAGGGTTGTTTCTTGGTCATTGAATGTGCGTGCTGTGTCCTCTCAGCCCGTTTGGTAACCCTGACCAGGTGTGCGTTCTAGGCTCTCAATAACAACGATACTCTCCGCTTACTGGCCATGGTGGAGCTCGCCTGCTACAAGAGCCGAACGCTTACCACGGATCCCAGACTGCACACTAAAATACGGAGGCGTATCGAAAGAGTGATTAGAGAAGACCGCCGCAAAAGGCACAAGAGACGAAAGGATCAAGATGCCATGGTGGATGCCTTTGCTAAGCATTCCCTTAGTGAGCCCCCCAGAGAGGCATCTATGGAAGAATCTTGACCGGTAAGCAAATACCAGACTATACGTTTAGCCTTGGGTCTAACCATATCCCCCTGAAGCCACGCATGTATCACAGCTGTACTCCGCATCTGTATCTTTCCCACCGCACGTCTATCGTTTCAAGTCCTAATGTATTCTATCGTCATTTCGTCGCTTTGCCCTTCGTCCGTTGTGGACTTCACCATGTACATCTTGCTGTCCTAGCTAGCCCGTCGTCGGATTATCCTTATCACCTTACCTTTTCAGTAAATATGCATGTAAAGAGCATACACAAGGTTTCGGATCGAGATATGTTGTGATTCGACAACGATGTTGACAACATCCTTGTAAACTATCGGGTACATATCCTGCAACCGGTACGCATCAATGCGTGTTGCTCGGAAGAGAATACAGACAATGCCATGAACGAGCGGGTCAGCGGAGGGAAGTGAATAAATATTGTAAATATATGGCGTTCCTCGTACAAAACGCGCAAGGAGTGGAAGGGTGCTAGAACCAAACAGTCCGCTGGACTTGATACAGTGCCCTTCGCTTATAAAAGCGGTCGGGTCAGCCATGAGGTGGCGAACGAAGAGGGTCTAGGCCTGGAGGGGTAGTTGGTGGCTGCTCTTGCTCCGTGGCAGCAGAGGAGGAAGCCTGGACACCAACCTGTGGTGCAAGCCCAGCTATCGGCTTACGAGCCTCGCTGTATTGTGGCGGCAACTCCACCACCCCATTCTCATCCGGCATAATTTCCTCGAGATCATTATGCAGGATAAATCGTGGAGGCGGTTGATACGATGTGACACCAGCCATGGCGGCCTTTCTACGACCCGCGGAGGACATAGAGTGCTGTGACTGGTGCCTCTGCCTTCGCGAGCCTTCGGTAGTTACAGGAGTCTCTAGCTGAGACGCCGTGGACGGTGCGTAGGGGTTATATGAGGCATTATCATGGCCAGGCATGGGTGGAACGGGGTAGGACGCCGAGGTACCGTCCCGAGGGTCGAAGAACGCCGCCTCTGAAGGTGCTGAGCTGTGTGGCATATGCGCGGTACTGGGCGTGTACGGATAAGGAGAGATCTGCTGTGACACGGGCTCCGCTAGATCGACGGAGTCTAGCCTGTGCGAATCACGCCGTGCTGAGTACGGCCATCTGTTTCGACGGTTCCTCAGGAAGAACAGGAGCAGAGTGGCAATGATGGCGGCTGCGATCAGTCCTCCAATCACGACACCCGCAATCACGCCCGCAGACACGGTCCCAGAGCTCGCAGTAGTGGAAGCCGCTGGTGGGGCAGAGGTAGTGCTTGCACCGGAGCCGGCGGTAGTGCTAGCACTTGCGGTCGGACTTGCTGTGGCCGATGTAGCCGAAGGGGGGTTCGCTGTAGAAGTCGGAGAGTTCGAATTAATGCAGGACGTGTCGTCCGATATACCGACAATCTGCACGTCTGAGCTGCCGCCTTGCCGGCCCGCGGAATCCGTCATAACGAAAATTAAGGACGTGCCCGCCCCAGCATCTGCGACCCAGTCGAATGATGTCGGGCCTGTTGGTGGATGTAGATAGAATATTTGTCCTCCAGGAACGAGACCCTGATAGAGGCATGGTGATCTATAGCGCCTTCGTACACATGACTGAGGTCGTTGCTTACCATGATCGTTACAGGTTGTACGGCGCCCGAGTAAGCACTGAATGTATACGGACTACGACAAACAGTTGATATGTGGGCAGACACGCTGCGGTCAGGTCGTTACTCACCGGCACTGTTGCAGGGCTGAGAAGGATAACGGGCTTTTCAGGTTTGAGCTGAAGCGAGGTTACAGAAGGCCTACCTGTATTCAGCTGATATTCAAATGCTACACCAGGGTCGGTCGTATTGCATTGCTTATTCCCCACAGATTTCCCCACCGCGATTAATTCTGAGACGCCTCCAGATCCGAACCCGGTTGCATCAGACATGACCACTGCTATCTTATGATTGCTTTCGAAGGGAACCTGCGTTTGGTACGACCCTTTGCCATCGCTAAAGGCTGAAGAAGGAATGGAAATATTGCGAGGTGTACCGAAAACCTGTCCATATCCCATGAACGCATGGTACGGGGTCAGGCTTAAAAAATGGGCATACAGGAATGAAGGAAAGCTGGAAAGGTGCAGTTCCGCCTTTACTCAAATATAAGCATTCACTACCCCAAGCGAAAACTCATGACTATTCACCTGTCCATGTCACGGTGAGGTCATCGCATTGCGTCGGGGTACCGAACGAGAAAGAAAAGGCCTTAGCGACAGAAGGCAGGAAGCACAGGATCCAAGAGAATGTCAGCGAACGCATATATGCATAGAGGCGACGAAAAAAGCGAGAAAAGGGAGAGCGTCTGAGCAGCGACGGGCAGGGGGTGGGAGCGGATGAGTTGAGGCAGCGTAAAGGGCGTCCTGATAGCCCTGAGGAGCTCACCCGGACACTGCCCACCAAACATGTTACGTAAACGACATCGCTAAGAGTGAAGAAGGTGGCAAGCACCGCCACTGTACCTTCGCGACGACGCCAATCACTCCTTCCCACAGTGGTAATTGGCTAAATGGACTGCATCGCAGGCGTATCGAGCCATGTCCACAACGCTAGTGAATGATTTGACCGGGTAAGATGTGGCATACATAGGAATGCTTACTGATACAAATCAAGAAAGCGCTACAGAAGATTAATTTGTTGTGACTAGACGAATAAATGGACCTCAAAGGAAGATAATCCTCAACCTCGAGTGCCGAAAGCAGCGCGCCATACCGCCTGCCACGACTTGACTACCGACTGGAACATTCCCAGCACGGGAGGCGAAACGTTGGGTAGGCTGTCGTTCATTTTGCCTCTCGTATCCTGCACAACGTCCGGGAAGCTCCCGGGCATCGATGGGCTCGCTGGTAGCGTTGGCGTAGGCTCCTGGGTGGAGTCGGCAGGTTTCACGTTCGACCTTGGCTGACTCTTGTGCAATATCTGAGACAGAGGTGTAGTGCGCGTTTGGTCGAGATAGGCCTGAGGGTAAAGCATATAGGCCCTTGTCGGTCGAGCATCCTTGAAGATGCGAGGTAATATATGCACCCCTTTCGGTGGAGGCGGTACCAAAGGTTTGTCTGTCTTCTGTATGGCAGTGGGTACCGGTACCTGCACATTAACCAATTTGGGAGCCAGCGCTGGCCGACGGACTGGTAAACGGGTCGTAGCTGTGTTGGTCGAGGTGCTCTTTGTTGTATTCTCTACCTCGGGCAGGCTCTCCTGATTCCGATCCGCGATACGAGAGGTGCCAGTGACCAGGACATTCTCCGCAGAGACCAAGGCGTTCTTTCCCGAGACAGTCAGACCGCAGGTGAGATTGCTCGTACAAGCTGAGGCTGGTCCAGATGTCCTCCAAAAAGTTTTACTGTCGCGTCGAGGTAGCTTCGATGTACTCGGCACCCCGTTTGTTGATTCGCTCGGAGGTCCAGCCGGACGGGGGCCATCCACCTTTGTCAAACCCTTCATAAAGTGGAAATGGCGGATACCAGCGACAGAGAAAGAACATCCGAAGCAGCCAGAACTATGTGCCTTATCGGAGACAGACGAGCTCAGAGTTTTACGCTTGCCAGAACGAGACGCTGACGCTGCAGCGGCTGCCTTAGCCTTCCGAGCGGCCACTATCCTCTCCGCTTCCTCCAGCCTTGCGACAAGATTGTCCAGTCCTAGACGCGCCCTTGGAGTTGGAGGGCAAGCGGCGGCTTGGCAAATCGCAAGGCGTTCATGCTTCTCTGCCCAGTCGTGAGCGGCAGTCTCTACTCGAAGCTTTAGGGCGTCGAGGAGCTGCTCAGTGGCCGGCCTACCCCGTATGCGATTGAGAAATGGAAATACACATGAAGTGACACCTACCGAGGCCGTTCGACCACTTTCTGGCAACCGGCATCCTTGTCATGGACATCCCGGTGGTCAAAATCCGTTCGAGGGGACGAAATATCTTCAGGCTCCTCGGAGATCACGAAGGGCCGGGTCTCTGAGGCTTCCTCTTCTTCGTCCAGTGGCTTTACCTTTATAGGCCTATGCCTTCCTCCCGTCTTCCTGGACCTAGGTAGGATCCGGTTCGATATCGGCTGAAGAACTCTAGCAGAACTTGATCCGGCGTGCGGCCTTTTCGCTGGGTGGGCATACTTGAGGGCATAAGCTTTCGACCGGAGTTTCTTGGCTTCCAGACCTTCCAGAGGTGCATCGTCCCCGTCGCCGAGCCGCACCACCCCCGACCTGTAATTAAGGGCTTTCACCATCCCTGGGGACGGCCAGCAAGACCCGACTGCCTTGGAGAGAGAACTGATGTATCGCAGACAGAAACGAGTGAGAGACGCGCCCAGGCGCTATGGTGTTTGGAACAGACGAGACACAGAAGAAACAACGGAAGCATTGTCGGGACGAGTCCGACGTGCAAATGACCGGACTTCGAAATGTGACATCTAGATCCATAAACGGCAATGCATTCACTATATCGGGAAACATGGATCCTATTATAATTGAGGGTAGTAATAATGCGGCACAAACCACAAACGAGCGGCTCAGCGAGCCTCCGCGCTCCGGAAAGCAACAAGTCACTCTCAGAGTCATGGGTTCCTCGGTCTTTGTACAGGTGGCGTATACATTGATACTCAGTACACAAGGTAAGGCGACTCCCCTTTGGGTGAGCAAGCATGCGAATAACTCGGAGGCAGCCACAAGCGCAGCCATCTGTCGTCTGTATCTCCGCGAGAACCCTCGCTTCCTAGCGCGTCCTATTGCATTCCCATTGGTCGAAAGTTTATGTTAGTCTGAGTTGGGGTCAGAAGTAGTACTTTGATGTCCCCACTACGGTTGACCAGGAGTGTCAGGTCTATCTTGCATTGGCACTTCGCACTTGCGTTTGGCTGAGGGCACGCCGTGAGTTCGAATCCCGCTGAGAGCAACGGGCAAGGGGCCGTGGGAACGTCCCGGATACTGCCGTACCCCTGTTGTCACTGTGCTCGACGTTGCCCGACGCGTTGTCGACGATGTCGACGAAGGTTGTGCTGAAACTCCCAAACAAATACTGAAAAAATTGCAATCCTTCTGAACAGGCATAAATTTGCAACTATTAGGGTGTAAATGTCTAGAAATGTATAGGTGTTGTATGAAAGTTTGCCCTCGAAGAGTGTGCTGGATAGTGTGGCCATATTAGATTTGTCTTGTTGAAGTTCATCGTGGGTCGCGTCACAGATACCACACCACCGCATTTATTCTGCCGCTATTTGTACTCATCTCCTGCCCATGCAGCATTTGCAGCTAACAGAGCACACATGTTGCTGAAGCCCGCAAGGCTGGCCAAGGGTGTGTGGCAGACGCCACAATTTCCTTCCCACACTTGCCGACT